TGTGAAGTATTTTTTGGTTTTGTATTGGGTTTTATGTTCTGATGCGTTTGTTGCTTTTCCTTAGATACTGTCTTAGAATTTGGCTTAAGAGAATCAGTTTCCACTTTCTTTGTGTTGCTAGGATTAGGAGATACAGGTCCTGTTTGGTCTTTCTTAACTTCCTCAAGACTCTCATCAGGACATAGTGAGGACCCCTGAAGATTGCGCTGAAAGCTATTGGAATTATCCTTTTTATTGTCTGCTTTACATTTCTTCTCTTTCAGAGAGCTGGTCACCTCTACATGTATTTCTTTATTCTCATTAGTATTTTTTGGCTTTATCTTTGTGTTTTTCTGCTCCGTTTTCTCTCCAGCAGATTTAAATGCTTTTGCTGGAACACTGTGACTGTTTCTTTTTGCTTGGCTACTGTGCTTAACTTCCAAAGCTTTTTCTTCTTTAACTTCTCTGTTGCGCAGGGATCTTGCTGGAACATGTACATGTGTTAACTGCTGCAGTCTCTGTGATCTCCTCATTACTGGCTCATTTGGTGCAATTATGCATTTTGACTTAGGAACTTCTTGCACAGATTTTTTCTGGCATGCCTCCTTATTTTTTGCAGATTTAGGCTGCTGCTGCTGGACTGTTTTGCCAGGTATTGTCTTATTATCTGAGTTGAATGCTGACGATCTTGTAGTCATGCGCATTCCTAGTTCAGGTTCATTGGTGTTATCACTGAAAGATTCAAATAATTATTTTTTCAGCATTCAGAAAGTAGAATTTGTTATAAGATTCTTTTCATTCCTACTAACTTCTGCCTTATTTTTTATTTTCTTTCTTAAAACAATAGATCTTACATCCTCAATACTTTTAGAAGAATTTTCTCTGGAATCATTCTAAAAAGAGTTTGCTTCTACCTGGTTACTCTCAAGTGTACCCTTAATGGTTTTTATGCATGGCAAGACTGAACTATGAACCCCAGATGAATGCTTTTTAACATCTCTAGCAGTTTTTAATACTTGACACTTGTGGCTTTCAAAGGAAGCATTAGTTTAATTTTCACTTCAGAAACTTTTTTCAAGGAAGTCTTTCTGGATTTCAAGACACTTACAGGGTTCCAGAGAAAGATTACATAGCAGACAGCATACTTAATGATTTAAGTCTGATCTCCCTACTAGTACTATTTAACTATTTAGCTGTATCTTTAACTCAGATTCCCTCTGCTTAGATTTTTTCTGCACCAATGCAACCTATGAAGATAACCTAGAACAATTACATAGTTTTTTGTCACTGACCTGTTTGATTTGACAGAGGTTTTGAGGACAGTTTTCTCCTGCACTGCACCCTGATTAGGCTTTGACTTATTTGAGCCATGTTTTGTATCTGACACCTCCTTTTCCTTCTTTGCTGATGACTGTTTGCTGTTCTTGTCCAGCTTTGGACGTTTAGCAGAAGGCTCTACTAACGTAGACTTCCTTTTCTGAGCTGCCATTTCTGTAAAACACAACAGCTTTCAGAGTCTTTGTCAAAAGTTGTAACTTTTCACTTTCATATATTCACTTTTCCTTTTATAGGCAGATCACGCTTACTGTGATCAGAAAGCAAATCTCAAATCATATTACACTTATTTTACTTACGTTTTTAAAAGAAGCAATTGATGTTTAGGCCAAAGTAACTTATCAAGGTGTGCCAAGAGCATTCCTTATGCATATGCTTACAAACAAGATGTTTCATGCCACCTATGAAAAATAAAAAATGTTTATGCAGTAAACACTTTATTAATTTCCTCCTCAGACTCTGAATTCCCACCTTTTTCCATCCCTTCAGACAATGCTTAGCTTTAAAGTTTCTTTGAAATGGAATTAAAAAACAAACTAAAAAACATTCAAAAAACAACATACAAATTTTATTTTTTCTTTCCATATCCAACAATTTCACCATTTTGCTGTCTTAAGCATTACTCTTTTACCTTTCGAAAGGTGGCAGATAACAGCACCATTCGAAAGGAAGTTTCTCAGCCTTTCACCTTTTTCCAGAAAACAGTATGCTGCTCTCTTTCACAGCCAACAAAAAATGGGCCCACTGTCAATCCTGTGTCTCACGGCAACAGTGAATAAATCCATTAGACTCTACTAAGTTTTGTGGCTGCTACAACAGAACTTCACAGACATCAGCAACCATCTATAACTGCTCCTTCTAATATGACTTAAGCTACAAATCAGAGATGGAAAACGTAGAAAGTAGCATTATTTGAGACATTTGCCTTGGGCAGTTAAAGCCCATGTCTTCATGAGAACTTCTACATCACCTTTTTCAGTCAAGGATTAACTATTAATTTTTGTCACTGACAGATTGACAAAGAAATATTTCTGCAGCAGAACTATACTGCTTTTCAAATCTGAACTGACCTGATGTTAAATCTGACAAACTATTAAGGTCAAACAGGAACTTCAAGTTACCAGTTGCATAACACAGACCAGATACTTTCAGTTCATTACAACTACAGTACGACTTCCAGTACTGACAAATGCACGTCTTTCTCTAACAATTTGAAAGATACTTACATTCAGCTCCTTTCAATAATTATTCATTATCCAAAAGGAAAAAGTAAACAGCTGCACTTCTTTAGGCTTTAAATTCTCCTGAACCTCATTTGCATTTATCTGCTCATTTATGAAATGCATAACTAACCATGCAAAACTGATAATTTTCATTAAAAAACTGACAAAAACTCATATTCCAGACACCAGTGCTGTCTGCCGACCTTTAAAGAACCTGCATAACAAGCAACTCATATTTAAGATATACTTTTTTTTAAGTATATCTTAAGATTTAAGATTTCTATCCGGGGAGTAAATCTCTACTAGCACTTTTCATGGTGCTATTTCCACATTTGTCCCTGAGGAGCAGGTAACATAATTTGTGTGCCTAAATTCTAATAGCTCATGAGCTCCATGACACCTCGCAAGTCTACGGGTTTCCAGTAGTCAAAGCCAGTCCGTCAGAGCTGCGGCATGGCCACTTATCATGGAAATAACAGCTCTAGTTGCTGAATAAGCCTCTGGTCTTCTAGAGACTCTCGGAGTTTGAGAACACCATGACACGTACTGTATATACCTGGACTTTCTTGGCTTTTTTCCAGAAATATACAGAGCTCTCAAACACATGACATGGCACACTCGGGAAAGACTTTCAAGTACAAACCAGAAAGTACAACCCTTCCCTCATCGACATTGCTTCTGAGGACACTGACAAATACACTCTCCTCCCACAGAGCTCTTCAACAGCAATTTCTTTCCTACTAATACTTTGCACAACAGAGCAAAGTCTTTTCCAGACATTCCAGAACTGGCAGTCTCTGCCCTGGAGTAGTCGCCCTCTAGTAAAAGTCAGATCATGGAAAGAAGGGAAGACACAGAAACGCAGGAACGAACTAGAACACGATCAAAGATTTTGGTGCAAGAAGTAGAGAAGGAAAAAAACAAAGCCAGAGAAACGCGAGTCCCACATCCCCCAGTCCTGACGGCAGGGGCTGAGGATGGATGCCCGCCTGCTGGACAGGGCGCGGGGGTCTCGCACCTGAGCCGTCCCGGCTGACGGCCAAGGCAGAACTCGGGGGGACGGGAAGGGAAAGGAAGGGAAGGCCTCCCAGCGTGGCCCGGTGTCACCCGCCCCAGCGCCCCGCCGTGACACCCTCCTGGGGCAGGGCCTGGCGGGGAGACCGTAGCCCCGGCCAGGAGCTCCCGCGGCCAGCGCCGCCAGGGTAGGGCGGGGGTGCCGGGATGGTGCCGGGATGGTGCCGGGATGGTGCCGGGATGGTGCCGGGATGGTGCCGGACGCCGCTGGGCGCCCCCCCCCCCGGCTCCCTCCGGCGACAGGGCATGGCCGGCCCGCTCCCCCCGCGGCAGCGGCGGGCAGGCCTGGGGAAGAGCCGCCGCCGGGCTCTCGGTCCCGGGCGGGGGCGCGGGGGGCACCGGGCGCGGGGGGCCCGGGGGCCACGGGACCCGCCGGGAAGCGGGAGGGGCGGGGCGGGGTGGCCCAACTTCCTTACCCGCTCCCCGGGTTCCCGGCGGGCGCTTACCTCGCGGGGGTGTCAGAGACGTGCCGGCGGAGGCGGCGAGCCCGAGCCTCGAACCGCCCACAGCCGGGCACCGCCGCGGCACCGCCCCGTCCCGCCCGCCGCCGGTCCAACCTCCCGGCGGGGACGGGGCATCTTCCGGCGGGAATCGGAACGGGGAGGGGGCAAGCGGCGCGGTCTGCGCGTGCGCGGCCGCCTGTGTGAGGGCGTCTCTGCCATATGGGAATGTTAAGCAAGGAATCCGGAGACAGTGCTAATTAAAAAATGCATCCAAGGACTGGGGGATACTGACAACAGCATTTACTGGCAGGACAAGGGGGAATGGCTTCAAACTGAAAGTAGGTTTAGATTAGGGATTAGGAAGAAATTCTTTACTGTGAGGGGAGGTGAGGCACTGGAACAGGTTGCCGCATCCCTGGAAGTGTTCAAGGCCGGGCTGGATGGGGCTCTGAAGAACCTGGTCTAGTGGGAGGTGTTCTTGCCCATGGCACGCAGTTGGAACGGGATGATACTTAAGCTTCCCCCCGGCCGGCGATATCCCGGCGGCTCAGCCCGCTCGATCCGCCGTGCGTCCGGATGGGCTGTCCCAGGCTCGTCCCCTGGCATTTTCCTCTCCGCCTGCCAAAAACGAGGAGAGAAAGCGGCGCCGCAGGCTGTGGGGCCAGCGGGAACAAAGTGACTTCGGTGGCGGCCGGCGCTGTGTCAGTGACACCTCACAGCTGCAGCAACAGCGAAATGCAAAGTGAAAAGTCGACTGAGAGGGGACCTCATCAATGTGTATAAATATCTAAAGAGGCGGTGCCAAGAGGATGGAGCCAGGCTCTTCTCCGTGGTGCCAGTCAATAGGACAAGAGGCAGCGGGCAGGAACTGATGCACAGGAAGTTCCACCTGAATATGCGGAAGAACTTTACTGTGCGAGAGAACAGGCACTGGAACAGTTTGGCCAGAGAAGCTGTGGAGTTTCCCTCACTGGAAATATTCCAGAACTGTCTGGGCGCAATTCTGTGCAATGTGCTTTGGGATGACCGTGCTTGATCACAGAGGTTGGGCCAGATGACCCACTGTGGTCCTTTGCAACCTGACCCCTTCTGTGATTCTGAGTCTCCCCAAGTCCCTGGTGGTGTTGCAGCAGTGTGTCCTCGCAGCAGCATTTCCTTAGTCAGCATTTCCTGCAGGCCCCTTCTCACAAGTATGTTTGGAAATGCCTCTAAAATAGGTTTGGTGCTGTACTGGAAGTGATCTTCTCTAACACGACCTTTGGAAACTTAAAAGATGCAAAGATACATTCTGGGGTTACTGAGGAATTCCTGCTGCTCAGCTGTGTGTTAGGTATGCAGACAGCAGTCAGCTCCTTTGACATAGGTGCAGAACAGTGACAGCATGTGTCTCTTGGTTGTAAAAGCAGGACAGATGCTTGTCTGTGTCTTGGAGCCTAAAGATGATTGTTGGGTGTGTCTTGGTCCTGTGCCGCGTCCACTTCTATCTCCAGAGCACTGAATTTGCTCACTGAGCTGCCTTTTTGAGTCCACTTGTCCAGCTTGTTTTGCTTTCCTAAGTTCAGCAGTAACCTTGCAGGTGCCAGCTAGCTAGTTTTATTCTGTGTATTCTGCACAGTGTTTTATAACTCATTCTATGGCATAACCATGTATTTGTGATTTTTGCCATGGTCTGGGATATTTCAGTCCTTGCTACACTGGTAATGTGTTTATACCTCAACTAATGTTATGTTGTGGCTTCTTTGCCTCAGGTTGTTTCAGTGTCTGAGCCTGTGTCTACATTGGCAAATAAGAGAAGTTCTGAACAAGAGATGGGGAACTGAGGATCCAACATCCACACCACTGATGTGTCAGTCCAGACCAGCTTTAGTCTAGTCCTGTGGATGCAGTGACTGCTAGGGTTGGAAGATGTTGTGTATGTTCTGGGAATGTAACTGTCAGTTTGGTTTCCTTCAAAAGGAATCCATAATGAACACTCCAAGACCCTGCATGACAAGTGGGAGTGATCAGAAGATGAATGCCTCATGCATACTTAGTTCGATCTATCTGTTAGCACTAGCCTAGGGCTAACCTGAAGTAGATCCTACCTGAAATACATATAGTATGTGTGTCGGGATCTCAATATTCAGCAGCTTTGCTGTGCATATCCTCTCCTAGCAGTATGTTCTACTTGCCAATATAGACACAGTCTCAGTTTATTTGATCATGAATTCACATAGTGATGTGTATACACCCCTGTATCAGAACGACTGGAGAACAGCGTGATGAACCTCATCCAATAACCGTAGAAGATGGTAGAAGAAAAGGTTTTGAATGGTGGTAGGTGACAAGGTTTCTCTCAGAGATCTCTGATTTCCTGTACAGCTTTCTGGTTACAGTTTGTTGATCTAACAAGACCACACAAGTATTTTAGCACTTGGTTCTGTAAATATTCGTTTGTTAATGCTTGAAGACTTTAAAATGGGGTTATTTTTATAATATATATTTTATAATTTCTAAATGTTTTAGTGATTTCTGTAGCTATCACATTCATGGGATTAATTGTTGGAAATTGCTGTCAAGTTTTCTGAATAGCATAAATTTGTTTGTATAGAGCAAATGACCTGGAGATACTTTGTTCTGCATGTAAAGTTTTTTGTCTCTTTGTTAACTGAAACAAGGAACAGCCTGCTTGCTAAGTCCTGGATAGACTTCATTGAAGCACAGTTTGTACTGGACAAATGGAAATTTTCAGCAGCTGCAGTTTTTTTTAAAAGCTGATAGGAGGAGATGTTATTTATAACTCCCTGTAGCAGCTCCTCTTTAATGCATGATAATCTGCTGTGACTTTACAATGAAGGCAGCAACATGTGGTCTCCTGCTCTCCTACAGTAACCAACAGAATCCTTTCCAGATGAAGGGAAGGGTATTTTAATCACTAGGATGCCTGTAAATTTCCTGGAGGATGATAAAAGCATTTCTTTATGTTATCATTAACTTTATAAATTTAACATGATGTTTTCCCATCCCTCTTTCTTAGGAACATGAAGCAAGTAAACCTAGATTTTCTCACATCCTTCCAGAAATAGTAATTTGCTGTGCAGCAGGGAAGTAGTAAAGCAGCAGGCATTCTTATAAAGCATTAAATTCTGAAACTTGGAAAAATTCAGTCCATGGGATAGAATACCAGTAAATTTCCAGTTTTCCACAGAAGGTGGCAGCATTTTGAAGCACTGATGTCAGTGTGAACTTGCTAGCAAATGTCACTTTGCTGAAAGAAACAACAGGAATTTACGGTCCTCGGAAGTTGTGGTGAATATGAACAGGAGTGCTCGGGCACAAATTTGCTGCAGAACTGGGAGGAGAAACTGCATTCACATAGGTGGAGTATGTGGATAGGACAGATTTAACTCCAAAAGGATTTTTTGTTAATTTTGCCTCTTTTTAATTTACCAGTGCTGTAATACTGCTGGAGTGCCTCTTGTCTGCAGCTAAGTGAAAAATACTTGCTTCTAAGTTAGGCCTTTTTTCACATGAGTAATAACTCAGCTGATACATGGATCATCCCCACTAATTGCAGAGAGTGCCATGTTGCGCTATGGCTTCGGGAGATGACTGTCTCCAGAAAGGGGAATTCTCTCCCACTATTTTCTCCACTTTCTTTCCCCGCTCTCAGCAGTTTTCTCTAGCTTCTTACCTCATGCCAGCCTTCATCTAGTACCTCAGGGACTCCCATAGACAAGCAAATTTAACTTACTGAGCTAACAAAAAAAAAATAACCCAGTGGAAAAACTGAGTCATATTCTGCCACAGTAAGAAAGGCTGAGGACCATATGACTGGAATCTGGGAGGATAAGAAAAGGCAGGGGAGGAGGAAGAGCAAGCCTCCTCCTTTTGGCAGGAGGGTGCTGTTAACATTGTCAGCTGCTTGTGGAACTGCAGCCTTAGGGCAGGCTGCAGAATTATGGGATTGAGCTCTTGATCCCAAACTAAATCCCAGCGGTCCTTGGAGCCCCATTTGACATGCGAACACACTCCCAGCCTGCCCTATTGCTTATCAGACATCTCATCTGAGCAAGGAAGCAGTGACAGACAACCAAGGGGCAGTAGCTGCTTAAACCTTTCACCGGTAATTAACCTTGCAAGCACTGCCAGTGCCTCAGAATGCCTCAGACAGGTGAGGTAAGGCCACATGGGAAGCTCATTTAAACCAGTGGGTTTCTAATCACTACATATATAGAACCTTTAAAGAACTGGAGGAGCAGCTGAAACAGCATAGGGCCCTTATTTCCCTGCCTTCAGCGGATTCAAAAAGTCCCTCTATCATCCAGGAAGAAGGGAGAGGCTGATTTTTGCATCTCCAGTAGAAAAAATGAGACAGGAAAATTGGATCCCTCGGAGGAAGAGATGTTTGCCAATGGAGAACCGCTGTCGGTTTGGCAGATTTTTCCTTTTCTTCTGTTGGAATGAAAATGAAAAAAAAATCCTCCAAACCAGGGAAAAAAAAACAACAACCCAAAAAAAAAAGTAGAAACATGGCTGAGATATTTCACAGCAGATTGACTGCAGGAGTTATTTTGCTGGCTGTCAAGAACCACCACTAACCAGTTGTGGGGGGATCCAGCACGTATGCTGGAGGTCAGTGGCAAGGCCCCAGGGGAGTCTCTTGGGCTCTTTTATACATTTCTCTTTCTTATTCATTGCCTTGAGCATTCTAAGCATTTTTTGACCAGCTGGCATCCAGGGATGAGAACTGTAGCAAGTGGCACAGGTTGAAGGGTGCCTGAGTGTGACAGCAACTTGATGACTTAGGGAACAAATGTTTCCTTTTTTTTCCTCAAGGTAATGATGTGTTGAGCAGAAGAGGCTTGGGGAGAGGTATGGTGTGCTTGCTCATGAGCACCATATGTACACTAAAAGTCCTCTTCCTGGCAGGTAGGAGTCATTGGCATGAGCCAGGTAGCTATAGGAGTTGTAGGGGAAGAGGCAGTTCCCCTCTGAAATTTCTATGTAGATAACACGTGGGACAATAGGGATTGGAGGGTGCCCTGACTGCCTGGAGTTAAAGAGCTTTACAGAGCATTTAGCTGAGAAAGCAGAGGGGCCATATTCAAAATGGGGAGTGTGTGGAATTTGAATAGCTCATTTTGTTTTAGTGTTTTTCTTTTTGCAGAGAGGCAGGAAAAAAAACTTGTCCGCTTTGCTCACATGCTGAATGTGAGAATTTTTTTTAGGGGAATGGTGAGTCTAGGCCTCAGAGTGACTGCATCCTGCAACAAGTCAGCATGTTAAATGTCTGAAGGGTGACACTCAGTGCCACATTGACCGGACCATGTTGACCCGCCTGGAGTCACTGCTGCTTTATTGGCATTTTCTTGACACCAGCTCCTGTGGAGTTGTAGACTGTCCTCCATAGCCCTTTCTGCTAAGTCTTTTAAACTCTTCTGTTATGTGTCTAGGTTTCTAAAAAGAGCATTTATTCTTCTGTTCAGTGTGAAATATATGCCATGGCTTAGTTTCTCTGTATATAATCATAGGACCATATTTTGCTATTTTAAATTTTCAGTTCTCTCTCTCTTTTTTGCCAAGAGAGGATATAATAAATTACGCCTTAAAACTTTGCTCTTTATGATCTGGTACTAAGACAGCTGAGATCACAGGTGGCTCTTGGATGACTGAAGGCCTCACAGATAAAAAGAACAGTACCATACATTGACTCCAAAGTGAGAAGAGGTGGATGTTCTGGAGCACTTTTGTAATATGTCCTGTTTCAAGCAGGAGGGTTGAACTAGACAATCTTTAGAGATCCCTGCCAACTTCAGCTACTATAAGGTTCTGAATTAGGAAGAGTTTTCTTTAAGACGTAGATGTCTGCAGCCCTTGTGGCTTGGAATTTCATTTTCTTTCTACTCTACCTTCCCAGTGATGAGTACAATGATAACTAACAATTTCCTCCCACCTTCAACATTTCATATTCCTGTTGATGTCTGGATACTCAGATCACATGAAAAGCCAAATTAAGACCCTGTAAATTCACACTGTTTTCAATAGAGGGCACATTGTGAATTTTGGCTCACTCATAAAACTCTGTGTACAAGGCACACAGATGTTACGTAGCAAAAATATTTATGGCACTTGTTTCTAGCTTGTGTGTCCCTTGCAAGATCTGAGGTAAGTGACCGCATTATTTGTTTCAGAAAATCTGACTGGGAAAGCTTGAAGATACCCATAGTAAAATTGGATTGTTACCACTTTGCACACTGCATTTCTAACAATGCATTTTCCCTAATAGATTATAAGGAAAAACACTCAATATTTGGGGGGGAAAGAAACCAACTTTACAGATTTTTGTTAGATACACCTTCAAAGATAAATGTCTCATGGGGATTTGTATGTGGGATTGGACCTAAATGAAGACAGTGCAGAGAGACAGAAATTCTGCCATTAATCATACTACTTTTATTTAAACAGTAAGGTGTGATTTAATGTAAGTGGTTTTATTTTCATTTATACTTGATGGTGAGTTTTGAACAGTACTGTACCCCAACAATTTTACAAATATAATGCTAAATACACTATTTATTGCTCATTGTTTTTGCATGAACATAAAACCTGGAAATGAATACAAGAATAAATAAGGCACCCTACTAATATGCTGATTTCATGTATTGTAGTAGCATGCACAAAGTTTCATTTTGCTTTTGCAATTCACTTTTCTCATTTTGCTTATTAAAGAAAAAATAAGAGTTCATTATCTGGGCAAGGACCAGCACTTGTCTTAAAAGTCAGAATTTTAAAGCACTTTCCATTTTTTTTTTAATTCAACCGTCCACCTTACGAAACAGCTTTCGTATAGCATGTCCCAATTTCTTTTTCTAAAGACAAAAAGTATTTTTGTTCTTCCTTTGCTGTTACTAGGAAACATGCCTTGCAAGAGGAGTGTTCACGTACTGCTTGAGACAAAAGACCTGACTTGCTTTTTTTAGCCGCATTTTCTTCTTGTACTGACCCCGCTCAAAAGATAAAAATAAAAATGCAGAGGCATCTTTGCTGACTTCTCTTGTGTGGCTGGGCCCAAATCAGTGATCAGCAGAAGGCAGGAGCTCCACAGAAGCCGCTTAAGAGCCTTGTTTAAATTTTAGCATGCCCTAAATTTGGACTTCGCAACAGTTTCAGAATATATTCTGTCCAACTGTCCTTTTTCCTCACAGGCCCACGTTGGCTGTCACTGTACATCAGGGCTGAGGAGAACAGCAATGCCTCGGCCAGCCTCACAGACTCATAAGCTGCGAGGGCAGAAATCGGTTTGCAGTGGCTTCAGTGATTTGACAACCTACTGCCAGAATGCTGACAAAATGAACAAACCAGAGAGTCGGGACTTTGACCTTCATCCCAACTTTCTTTACACAGTTTGTTGCATTTTTTTCAGAAATGATATGAAACAGTACCAGAGACAAAAGGCTGGGATTTTTTTTTTTTAATTTAAAGCAGATTATATAATAATTTCCCAATGCTCTAATGTTTATTCTTTAAAACTGAAATGTTCTTGCAGGGTAATATAAACATAGCAGGTTGAATCATCAAGTTTAGCAGTTATATGAAGCATGTATTACTTATATGACAACACCCAGGTTTACATAAAATTTGAAATGCAAGATGTCTTTTAATTACATAAGTTATTACAGTACTGTTTTAAAGGAATATTTTGGTTATATGTAAACACTATAAATTAGCTCTTTAAAAAATAATCATATAAGACAAGGATGGCATTGACATAGTCTAAAAAACAATAACCAGCCCTAAATCTGAATACTCTCAGGGCAGAACAGCAAAAGCAGGTATCAATCTAATGCTATGGAATAACATGCTGAAATTTTGATTTATTTGCAGAATCGGTGCTTTTTTGTTGTTCCCTCCTTTTGTTTTCATATTTTAAGATTTTCACTATCAGTGCCCTAAGGAATGGGCCAACTTGTACTATGTGTGACAGGATAATAGAAGCTATTTTGAGTGTCGCCATTCTAATATTAAAAGCCATCTAAATTAAGTCTCCTAAATACATATTGGTTTAAATTACAATCCTGAGGAATTATAATCTCTCTACTTGATAGTTTTGGTTAAGTGCAATTTGATGTATGCAGAATGCTGTTTCATTTAAGGTCATTCTTAGTAAGGCATATTAAAAATAAATATAAAAGTGACAACATAATATTTAGTTTCTTGCTACAAAATCTTAGGCAAAAATATTTTTGCATGTAGTAATGGACTTTATCCATTTGCTGGCTTACAGGAGTTAAAATTTGTGCACTAAGCTTAACTGCCCTTGTCAGAATGTGCCACTGTGCTATACTAGTGGTCCAAAGCTACATGCTTAAGATCTTATTTCCATGCTCAAACATAGCTTGCACAAACTGCTTGAAGACTCTGTCCATGTAAGTGCACTTCCTTGGCCATATTCCTTCCAGAAAACCAATATGGCCTCCACACGAAGTCAGAACCAAAGCAACGTTTGCATTTTGTTTGGCAGTTTCTACTGGTATAGCTAAAAGGGGGGGAAAAAGTTTTAAGTCCTTATCCTTCTAAGAAATGCCAGACATTGAATAATTTCTCTTAAACCTTTCTCATATTATGTCTGAATAAATAGGCACAACATGAACATACGCTTAAATGTATCACAGGATTTAGAACCATAGCTGTGTTAAAAGCCATTTCTCTCTTCATCATTAACTGACCTTATCTGTGTGATTTTTTTTTTTTTTTCTGGCTGCTGTAAAAGTTTCAGCTTCACCTTTCTTTCAGTCCGACTGATGAAACAGCACCCATGTTAATGCATACTTAGGATTTGCTATAAATAGTGTAAGTAAAAGGACAATCAAGCCTGTAGTTTTTAACTGGTATTGCAATATTCAGTCTTGGAAGAGCTGAGGAACTGGGACCTTAATTGCAAATCCCATTCTTTTTGTATGAGACTCCAAACACAAAACCTTTAACGTCACAATAAGATTTGGTCTGTATGATATCCTATCAGCTAATATTAAGGATTATCCCAGGTTATTATCATTACATCTGATTTGCCATACATTTACACCCGCACATTTAGAGCACACAATGCAAACACACTGGGAGATGGTTCTTGCCCTGAGGAGCTCATAATCTAATACACAAGGTAAAGAGAAAAAGAGGAAGGGAAAACAATTGTACAAGGACACAGAAAGCTGCTCTGTGTCACCCAGTAGGTTAGTGGTTCTCTACTGAACAGTGACTGCTAGAAATTACTTAATTCAGAATTCAGATTATTAGAATGGGTATTACAAGGATTTTTCTTTTGCTGGGTTAGTTTTCTTGCTCAGCTTCCTGGTCTGGTTCCCTGTGTTAATACAAACATATGAATGGCAGCAGACATTCAGATGAGACCTTCGATGAGGTGGCCATTTCAGTGATGGCCTACAGTTAGCTCAGAGCCATCAGTGAATGACACCTGAGATATGCACTGATCTGGAAATGTGCAGGAGGGGAGGCTTCAGTGCCTCCTGTTATGACTATGCATAAATGTGTGGCTTAATCAATGCTACACCTGGCCAGTTCCCTTTGTGAAGGAAAATAAAGGTCAGCTAGCACAGACTGACAACAGAGAAAGCATATGACTTTACAAATGGTATTTTAGTGTGATGGAATGATCCTGTTACCATATGAAGTGCTTGACATAGCAGTGGAACTATATCAAGAGTGCAAACACCACAAGATCCATAAAAATTAAGTTATTTAAGCAAATTCCTCTGGCATTTTGGGTATGTTAAATGTACTCCTGAACAAGCAGAAATCTCAATACATTTCAGTAAAGAATGCCTTACTAAGTTCCAGTTTTCAAGTAATATATGAAAGAGAAAAAACCAAAAATCATAAAGATTTTTTGATTATTCAGGATTGACAGGAAAAAAAACAGCAAAAGAAAAATGAAGGGAGTAGCAGGAATTTCACTGTGTTGTTTAAAAAACCTTATGACTCCACGAGAAAATAAATCTGATTTTAAGTCATACACTGCTGAAGTAAAAATGCCTTGGCACTACAACACAAAGCAGCAAGTTATTCAAAAGATCTCTATTGCTTCCTCAATTATTTTAAAGTATTTTTGAAGTGAGATTTTTAATCAGGTTCAGCTGGGGGGGGGGCAGTTGTCCACATCCCTTCCTGACTGCAATTCCTTCAGAGACATCTCCCACTCACTCCTATTTCTAGGAGTCTGTTCCTTTACCCCTTTATATATTTGCTATCTCAAAGGTCATTATCCTTGAATAGTCACTATCCCTGCATATTACTACCTTCTTTATAGATGTTCTTTACTTTCATCTGGATGTTGGCAGACTCACTCCTGTGTGCTTCAGATGCCTATTTGCCTTTGTTCTCAGCAACTAGAGTAAGAGCACAGAGTAACCCCTTCCTTAGCTGAAAAAGGACCCCCAGCCAGAATAAGTCACACAAGAGCTTGAGTGCAGTGACTGTGGTGAACAGCTGTGCAACTTAAAATAGATCAGAGCAGAAGCACTGGACCCATAAAGTCAGGAGAGCGGTCTGTGCCTCAGAGGTCCTTACTAGCAGTGCCTGGAATGACATGCTCTGTTCCACTCCAGGGCCTCAGTATGAACGCTAAACTGACTGTCTGCGTAGCAGGGTTAGTGTCTTTTATGAATATGTGTTACAAGGTTCCTGCCCATAATATATGGTATGTGGCCGTGGCCTGGTGGAGTGCAGACTGGGCTCCAGAGAGCAATGGGGATTCCCTTGCGGAATACGTGAGGTTCTTTGCTAATCAGTGCTATCCACTTCTTCCACTTTGTCCCTCCCTTCAAAATTGTGTGCATTTTATAGATTCCAGCATTTACTAAGTGATTCTGATTCTTCAGTATGTGGAAGGAGCCACACTTCTTAGTGCCTCTATAAGAAGTCCTTGGCTTTTCCTTTGTTCAGCTGGAAAATTGGAAATACTGTATACAGCATCTCAGTCTTTGAAAGCAGTGCTGAGGCAAGACTAAAAATAAAAGTCAATGAAGTAAAAGCCTAGGTTGAGGAATAGTACAGGCTGAAAACAAGAGATGCAGAAAATAGTGTATTATTTCTTGCAATCCAACACATGCATCATTTTCAGACTCAGCAAGTGCTCATCTGGAGTTTTGCCTGAGTTAATCTGCTAAGCAAACTCTGATCTGCCTTTCTTGGATTCTGTGGATGAACACGTTGCCATGCACAAAGAGAGTGGCTGCAATTCATGTCAGCTTCTGCCGACTGCATAGGAATTTGCCCACTTATCTGTACCAAGCCATCTGCTCCTCTTCCCTCCAGTATCGTGTGGGCCATGTTAAACAGAATCCCAACAGAGAAGTGGGGATCAGACACAAACCCCAATCATGCTTCAGGCAATGAATCAAACTTTCCACAACCATTCTGCAGCTGTCTCCCTGGTCACTGAGGGGACTAATAAATAGGCTTCTGTGCAAGGGTATGGGGAGGAATGTGTGAGGAGGGACAGACTTGACCTCCAGTAATCAGAGAACTCCATCGATCCTAAGGGATTCAGGATCAACTGCTTACTGGTCTGAACATACCTCTTCACTGGCTAAGACTGTGCAAAGAAATGACAAACACTCATTTTGGCAGACTAGTGTCAAAAGTGTAGAGAGAAACATCCTTTCCTAGTAAGAAACTGCTTTGCTGGGGGATTGGAAGGGAGATGATAATAAATATCTCCTCTGTTGTGCCAACTCAGCTGGGAAACCCCTTACAGGCAAAGCTCACTGTGACCTCTGCATACCTGTCATTCAGAGGTTGCCAGCATAACCATACCTCCCAAATTGGTTTGCTGGTGGTTATTCATTCCTAAATTGCTTGGCAGTACTGCAGGGGGTGCCATGTGGTGCCTGCCTACAAACAGCTACAGCCTACCAATCCTGCACTAGGCTGCTAGTTATCTTCTGTGCCATGTAAGGTGCAAGCCACACAGGTCTTCACGGATGTCATCTTCCATCATCCTATCCTGAAGTTGTCCCTATTCATCTGTGTAACTCCTTCCCAGCAGAGTTTCTTCCTCTGCAGCTTCTCGTGAGAGAACTGAATATGCTGTGTTGCTCTCCAGTGCCAAAATGCAAATGATGCTTGGCAGTGGTGTGGTACTTCCCTTAAGGCTGCTTCTAGGGACTGTTAGCCATCCAATAAATAAAAAACACAGTGCAACAGAGCAAATTCTGCAATGTAAAGGGCAGATGAATGGAGCACTGGATGTGATGCACTCTAGGATATAGGATGGCATGCCAAAAGATACCACTGTTCATTGTTGTCAGCATGTAACCTTGTACTTCAGTTTCTACTGGCCAAAATTTGCACTGTTGTTTGATCCAGCAGGCACAGGTCTGTTATTTGTGATCACAGAACCACAATGTAAATACATATATGCAGAATTACTTAATTCAAAACCAATTTGTTGTACATTCTTTGTCCCCAAAAAAGTATTTTTTTTAAAAAGAACAAAAGAAAAACATACATGTGAAGCTTAAATAAGTCACTGCTGTCAAACACTCCATTTTTTGGTTGATTTCTCTCTGTTCCTTAAACTTTTACCCTAATTGTTATTTGTTTGCCATTCCTTGGCCATTTTGTCTCTCCCAACAAATTCATTCAAATATGCTGTTTACATAACAGGATGCAAAATAACACCTAAGAGCAATTACTTCAAGTTTGGATTCAGGGGAATAGAAAATGTTCAGAGAGTTCAATAAAATGTACAACTGAGCTTCAGACATGCACTTATTTGTCACAGGGGATCAGGAGGGAGCTGGCATGGTACCTAGCTTCAAGGGCAGGCTTCCAGCTCAGGCACAATGCTCACTAGCAGCAATTAGCTAAGCATTAGTATAGTGAAGTTTAAGTCAGATGCCTAATACACTGCTTAAAGTCTCTGAGGAGAAGAATGCCACTTCAGATGAAAAGTTAAATGTGACACTGATAATGAATGCTATTGTTCCATCTTCCTGATTTATTTTTCACATTTACAAAATAAAAGGTCTTGACTTGGTTTTATTACATATTTCCTGCAACAATGGCTTGTTTAAATTAGTTATGGTGAGAGAAGTGTCATGCAATGAAGAAGGCATTTGTTTTTATTAGTTAGTATTATGCAATATGAGAACTGCATTCCAGAATTAAAACTACAGATACATCAGCTGCCAAGCTCTATGAACTTTTAAACAGCAACATTAAGGAAATTAATGTTTATTAGTTAATGCAAATTAATTGTTTCTTCCTAATACTGGACTGAGATCGAATGGTACATTTTCACAATATATTTAAAAATAACTGCAGGGAAGTACAAAGCGTACCAAAATGTACATGAGAAGAAATGATCAGGTTGTAAGAAGCAACAGAGGCAGCCTCTGCACTTTCTAAGGGAACTTCAGGTCCACATTGTGTAGTGACTTGGTTTTGTATCCCTCAAGCTCTGTTACAGGAAGATAGATGTGTCTGGCTTTATGGAGACTATTTAAACACAAAGGAATTCTGGCACTGCTTTCTCCCTGATGAGTTTTCTAGGCCTGTTTCCCAGCTCTTGGAAACTACAGCTATCTACAACAGAGGTGGAAGGTAGCTTAAAAGCTGGTAGGTATTACTGGGAGAGATGAGGAATGAAATAACCAGTTGCCCAAGTCAGTAAAAGGCTGGGGTCTGGATGAGAATGAATTTTGTGGCTTTGAGTCCATTATGCAGTTGTAAGTGGAAATTGCCTCTGATTGTGACAGGCTTACATGTTTCCACACATTTTTAAGTCAGAAAAAACCAAGACCATTGCCAGAATAAAGTCTCTTCCAAGAGTAACACCAACCCTTTATGTTTGCTAACATAAAACAGCTCACAGAAGTGTCAAGATGAATGAACTCCAGTAACTAATGGCAGCAGACATAAACCCTAGGCTGCTAATCGGGGTGCTCTGTGTCTCCTGCCAGTACAAGGATTCACATTGAGGGTGCCCAGCACAAATGAAAAAGGACCCAAGATAGACGCATAGAAGTACTATTAGCTGTAAATCAACATTGCCCTGGTGGTCCTTTCTAAGGGAAACTAGTCACCACAAGGACAAAGGGTTACGGCTAACAGCATTAACTCCGTGAACAAGGAACAAATGAATGGTTAACAACACAAATATTTTCAGGGAGAAAGGCTGCTTAGGGTCAGAGTTTAGGAGAAGATGGACAGTCATTAGAACAGATTCTAACACTTCTTGTTTCGGAAGTGCAGGAGCTCTACCTTACCTCCCTCTACACTGCAAGACTTCTAAGGCATTCTCATAATAGGTTTGATACTAATCTTACACGAGCAACCATCCCACTGTTCACCAAGAGTTGTGTTACTTTTAAAAACAGCTTCAAGGGTGGAAAGATCTGCTACAGCTGTACTTTAGGGCACTCATCTTTTGACTAGTCAAACTACACAGTTGCAGAACTTTTGAGGCTGTAGGAGACTTCTTTGAGGACATCTAGTCCAACACCCCTGCTCAAGCAGGGTTACCTAAAGCAGGTTTCCCAGGGCTGTGTCCAGTGAGGTTTTGACTATCTCCATAGATGGAGATCCCACAACCTCTCTATGCCTCTCTATTTGACCACTCTCACAGTAAAAAAAAGTGTTTTCTAATGTTCAGATTGTGCTTCATGGGATTGGATCAATACTTGGCTCTTGAGAGCTGGAGGTTGTATTCTAAAATTAAAAGGGGATGGAGTATCTGTACTAGCTTTTATCTAGCTAACAAATGTCCCAGTCTCAGTGATAATAGGCTGGAAAAGGGACAGAGGCACACTGTCTGGTTCACTGCTGTTGCTACCATGCTAACTAGGTAGCTTACTCCTGCCACAGTTACTATTTCACTGCAAGACACAAACCACAAACTAAGCTCGAGCTAAGCATGGAGGTGAAGCCATTGTTCTCTCTCTCAGATACTTCATGAAAGAAACAAGGCACAGCAGATCACCCACCTTGCAGTATGATGGGGAAAGTCATCCCCAGGGTCATAAGACCCATAAAATATTATCTTCAGAGTCACTAGTCAGATTTTATATCTGCACGTAGATTTTAGGGTCACCCATCCATTCTTATTTCCAGGCCATTACAAGCTTGTAAGAGAACTTGCAACTGTCCAATTTCAAGGAAAAAAAAAATAAACCACAGAGGCTTGTAAATACAAAGGGACTAACTCTGTCTCACAAAGTCCTTGAACCAGAAATTGTTAAAGGTGTATGTAGTAGTCTGGAATAATATTGCTGTGTTGACTCAGATCTTACTGTTTTTTAAGCCTCTATTTTGGCCAATGTAAGGGATAGGTAGTTTGGGTAATCCAGAGTTACCATTTTTTCCTTCATATGAGATGGCTGTCACCTCTTTATATTGTTCATGCTTTTTGTTCAAGAGGAGAAGAAATCCGACTGTCTTTTTCTAGTGCACACTACTGGAGTGGTCTTTTTATCTTCATGTCACGTTTGTCTCTAACAGGTCTTCGAACTATAAATAGTAATGTGTGTGCATGTTTCTGTATATGTTGTACATCTGCACGCAGATAAAACAGTACAACACACAAAGAGTCTCTTCCAATTCCTTCATTTTCCACTTGTTCTAATATGTTTGCCTGCTTACATTGGTTTCATGACTCATTCTGCAAGAATCTCACTTCGCTTGTGGTGGCAGAAGAAAATTTCCCTGAAATAAATCAAGTGCCTTAACTAAGTTTTAAAGGTGTTAGGTGTTCACAGCTGGAAGACTGTTGCCTCAACCAGCTGTTCATTTTAGTGGTTTTCCTCTACATTAGTTTTTGTTCTACCTCTCTTCTCAGACACTACAACCAACACACAAACTGCAGGAACTAGCATATCTTTTTAGGATAGGTAGCCACATGGTTTTGATCTACAGAGCAAAAGTAAAATGTTCATAATGATCATGTGTTTGGCAGAAAACAGGAGTCAAATGGAAAACAGAGTTTTCAGCCAGTTATTTAGCTAATATTGCTGTTTCATCTTCTAGTTAGATTCTTATTAATTTCAATGGGCCTCCTTCTAGGAGCTCACTTTGTGTATATCTCTTCCCTTACCCTAGATTTTGGCCTACATGCTAACTTAGATTTTTTCTTACTTTTAATTTTCAGGCACTGGAGGTGGCACTGTGAACAACAGCCAAGAATTTAATGTCATCTGAAACATAAGCGACTCCCAGATATTCTTTGTAGGGACTGATTAAAAAACAGCAATAATAAAAAAAACTTGTTTTCACTTGCATGGAACTCTGAATGTCTACAATCCAGACACCTGAATCTGAGTTCCTTTTTCTAGGTTCTCTTTGTACTTGATGAATAGAAATGAATGCTTCTGAGAGGGTACTACATCTGATGTCTTCCTTACAGTGAGATAACTCACAGCCTAAATATGCATATTTCTTTCTTTTGACTGTAAGATTCCATTAATGGTTAATGAGGTCACCCCATATACTTTTGCATTCTGTACTAATCAGGTCTCTCCATCATTAGCTGTTTTATATGTGTCTTACACCTTAGGTAAACTGTAAATCTGTGGAAGTTTTGATCCTATGTACAAGTCACATTTAATAGACCTCTACATATAGGTCTGAGTTCATTCTCAAACCTATGTAGTTTGTCTTAATGACTGCATATACAGATAAATATATTTTAAAAAGCCTAAACTTACCATGACCTGGTGAGAAAACATCATCCACAGAGTTTAGACATAACACTGGAATTCCTACTGACTTCAGCTTGCGACATGGACTAGCATCTTCATAGTAATCATCAATTGAACGGTAGCCAAACATGACTGAAGTGAACTGCTTATCAAATTCTCTAACAGTTCTAGCCTGAAGTACAGAATTCAAATAGGGAACTATGTCAGCATTTTGAAAACAGCATCCAGCTAAAGCAGAAGTAACATTCTCACATACCTTCATCACAAGATCCATATCAAATAATTTCTCCAACATTTGTCGATGCCTAAAAAGAAGGAGAGAAGAATCAGAGGGCTTGTTTTTTGTTGTGTTAACAGATGCAGAAGTCCTCTACTTTTCAGATACATTATAGAAGTAACTTTCTAACAAGAACATGCTTGTTTTTAATTTTCTATCATAATAAAAATCTGTCAGGAATCCAAGAGCAGAAGAATTATTCATTCATATGCAGGCACATCTAGCAACATAGTAAAAGTCTGCATAAGCCATGGGAAAAATGCCATAGATAAGAGAACTTGATATTTTAGAACACAATTTAGTTTTATAAAGCAAAAGATGAACTAGCCCTTTCTGTGCTTTTGCAGTCAACATTGACTTAAAAGAATTAGTATATATACATATATACTCCTAAGTCAATATATGCATGTCTAAAAATTTTAAAAATCCATTTACTTCATCTGTAAATACAGAAGTACATGGGCTTGTGCTGAGCCCCTTGAGAAGCAGATAAATTTAGCCGCATTGATGACAATCTTTCTTGCAAAGATCCTTTTGATTTCAAAACTTACCAAAGAATGCACAGAGAACAGCTATGCAAAGTGTTGTTACAGCATTAATTTTGCCCTGATTATTATACCTGCTGTAGATCTCATACTAACATCCTTCCACCTTTCTAAGTAGTTCAGAAGGCAACTCACCTGCTGATAGAGGACTGTAGACAAGTGGTCAAGTAATAGTTGAAAAGAAGCCAGTTTAGTGGCTTCTCCAGAGATTCTACAGATTCAAAAACATTCCAACCCGCAGAGAAAATTGCAGCTGCCATTAAAGGAGTGTCTCTGCCAGTTTTGCCCAGGTAATTTAAAAGAAGCATGCTACAAACAGAAATGAAAAACAGAAACATATATACTATCAAATTGTTTGCTTCAATTTAGAGTAAATATAAGTCAGCCACCTTTTTGTCTGTTTTTCAATAGTTTCTTGTATCAGCCCTAAAGTTGTGCCTAATACAGCTAAAAGGTAGTCAGTGTAATCAACACATGACTCATGAAGTTTACTTTCTCCTCAGAGAGGAGACTGGTGCACTGTGTAGGGTGTGGGTAGGAATGCATTTAGAAATAAAGATGTACTAGTCTCATTTATATCATTAAAGGGATGAAAAGGTCAAACAAATGATTCTTACTCATGGAACAGGTATTCCCGAGTTGTTAGTAAGTTTTACCATCTTAAAAGGCCTTGGTCTTCCTGATGTGTTAAATCTGATAAATGTGCCTGAAAAATGCAAGCTGCCCCTGGCATGCCTGTCTCACTATGAAGAAGTCTCTTGAGTTGAAGGTAATGCCATTACCCCACCTCACACATATGAGAGAACACAGTTGTTTTATAACACACAGTATGTAAAGAATGAAGTGTTGGACAATGAATAAAACTAGAGAAACAAACTTATGAGCCAAATAAATGACTTAGGTCTTGTCTTTCTGACCAATTGCAACTTACAGTCTCTACTGCTAATGTATACTTATGTTGAAAAACGGGAGAGTTCACAAGTATCTGACCCTTCAAATGTAGAAAAAATAAAATAGCAGGAAACTGTAAAAGAAAAATACTAATAGAAAAGCTGTCTTTCTTTACTGCCTGGGACCTCAAAGTTTACAACCACCATTCTAATACCAAGCCCTTAACACAAAGCATTACAGTTAATTGTTAATATAGCTCCCTGGACCACCAACACTCTGTACCTTGGCTTCATCTTCTGTACTTTAGAAGACAGCAACCTTTAGCAAAGACATCATGAACCAGCCTGCTATCACAGAGACTTTGTCCCTGTGCACTACCTAGCAGATCATAAGACAGCGGTCCAACAAACCAATAAAAAAAAAAGTTGCAGTAGTAGAAGAATCCACTTCTCTGACAGAGTGCACAGAGTGTATGTCATAGGGAGAAGGTTTAGGAATCTTTATGTTAGAAAATGAAGTCCCTTTCCAAAACAATTCATATTGAAGATCAATACAACAAGTGGCCTTTAATTTACATTTATATGTCTGTGAAGTGAATGTTTATTTTAATTCTTAACTGGACAAATCTGTCCTGTATAGATTATTACAGAATCACAGGATGTGCTGAGCTGGAAGGGACCCACAAGGATCATCGAATCCCACTCTTAAGCCTCCACAAGCAAGGGATATGCTGGACTACAAAAGAAAGGTTTCTGCAACAAGAAAGGCTTCTCTAAATCTTTTGATACAAAAAAGACTCAGAACAGCATCCTCTTCTTTCTCCTCATCACTGAAGCCAGTCATTTCATCATAGAAGGCAATCAAATCACTTGGGCATGCTTTGTTCTTGATGAATGCCACCTTCTTATCCTTCATGTGCTTGCAGATCGCTTCCAGAGGATCTTTCCAAAGATATGAAGTTAGGCTGACCAGCCTTTTGTCCTTCCTGGGATCACTGTTCAATGGAGCAGGAAACCTACTGACTAAAGATTTGTAAAAATGGAGTGGCTACCTGTCTCCCCTGTCTTTACTGCTGAGCTCGGTTCTCAGGCCTACCAAGTCCCTGTGCCTAGTGGCAGAGTATGGGAGAATGGCAGCAGAAGATCAAGTTAGGGCCCAAATTAGGGCCCAGTTATGCAAACCTGGCATGGACATGCCAATAGGACCAGTTGAAGTGCACCAAAGCTCCAGAAGGAGGTAGCCAATGTCATCGTGAGACTGCTGTCTATCACTTTTGAAAGGTTGCGGCAACTGTTGAATTTCTCATGCCTGGAAAAAAGAGGCACCCATCTACAAGAACTGCAAGGAGGAGGAAATACAGGCTGGAATGCCTAATCACAGCCCTTTGGGAATATCCTCTGGAAGCCATTTCTAAGCATGTAAAGGTGAAGAAGCTGACTAGTAACAGCCAGTATGGATTGCCTTCTATGATGAGCTCACTCATCATTCGTTGATTAGGGGAAAGGAGTGGAAGTTGCTTATTTTAACTTTAGCAAGTCTTTTGACAGTCTCCATGGTCTCCATATAGTCAAACTGGAGGAGCATGGTTTGAATAGGTGACCTGCAACATGCATGGAAAACCAACTAGACCACTAGGCTCTGGGAGCTGTGATCAGGAACTTGAAGTGCAACTGCAATGGTTGGTCCAGATACTAGTAGTGTTTCTCAGGGGGCAGTAATGGGGCCCATACTGTGTAAGTAAGTCTTCACTAACTGGATGATGAGATGGAATGCACCCTTAGGAAGCTTGCACATCAAACTGTGGGGAATGGCTGCTGAACTGGAAGACAACGCTGACATTCTGAGGGACCTCAACAGGCAGAATGAGTTGGCAGGAACTTCATGAAGTTTGACACAGGAAAAATCAAAGTCCAGCACCTAAGCAAGACTAATGACAGGACAGAGAGCAGCTGAAAAAGACCTGGGCAAATAGAACAATGCATTCTTGCAGCAATGAAGACAACTAATGATATGCTGTGCTTTGTCAGTAAGAGCACAACAAGCAGGTCTAAGGAAATTATTTCTTTCCTGTATTTGACACTTATGAGACTGTATTTGGAGTACTGTGCCAAATGTTGGGCTTCCCAGCAAGATAAGACACTCGCATACTGAGGAAATTTATGTCTTCATATTGAAGACATTTGCAAAATCCCTGTAACATGAATGGAAAAGGATTGGCCTGATTTAAAAAGCTTCCAAGTTAATTATTTGGTTATCAATAACTATATTGCTTGAACAAACATTTATTTATCCCAAAGCTCCTACAAGTCATTAGTAAATTAATGTCAATATACAGGGCCATATCTGCCCACCCTCCATAAAATTTATCAGAGAGTAGGAAGTCTCAGGACTTTACCGCTGTGTCTGTAGTATTTCTAATGAAAATTCTCCTCTTCTATGATTTCTGTTAAATAGGCTGCCTGAACAGTTCTTCTAGATTCTAGCAGTGATTTTTTTTCTAAGAAACTGTGTAATCATTGTCTGTTCTAGCTGTGCTTTCTGGACAGCAGCCAGGACACAGCAAGTCTTAATACCACATGCTCTATCAACCCATACTGGTTTCAATAACAATACTACTTCTTGGTTCTGAGCCAGACAGAGCAGATACCCACATCTCTTCCAGCCTAATCTACCCACACACTGCAGAACCCAAACAGAGTGAAGACAAATGTTGTCATTTCATAGGTTGCTATGAAACATGGTATATTAGCTCTAGTTCCTATTTTTTATTCCTCTGTTCCAAAGACAGCCTCCATAGTTTCCAAAGATTGTACTGCCTACCTATTTGGCTGTCAATCTCCCTGCCATTGTTTCCTGTCTTTCTCCACCCCCCTCTAACTTTTAAATGTTGGCTAATTTTGACTTTCCCTGACACAGAGCTGAAAGGCTCAAAGACATGAAGAACTTTCTGAAAGTCTTCTGCATATTGACTGTTGGAGGCAGACCCAAGTTAGCTGCAGTTCAGTAAGTAATGCAAGTATTGCAGAGGAGTAATTTAAAAGGCTACAACAGTCTTATTTTACAACCACAGTTAAGCTGAGACTTGTGTTACATAACCTTACCCTCCCATAGAAACACCTGCTGCCATGAATGGAGCCGAGGGGTGCAAGCTGTGCACATGATGAATAACGGCCTCTAAATCCTCTGTGTTAGCTGCACAGTAAGTCCTTGGTGTCTATAAGGAGTCAAGAGGGAAAAAAATGCCATCATAAGCTTTTGTATTATCCTTTAAGGGCAAAGCAGACTGAACAGTGGATCATTTATATAACAAGATAAATTTAGCATTTATCATGAAGCTTTGCTAAGTGGCAAATACAAACCCAGAGCGTTTCATGAGTAGATTGACAAAAAGTTATACATGTTATCATTACAAAATAAAAGAGGTGACAGATATCTTCAGCATCTGCAACCTCCAGGTCATTAGATGAAATCTGAACAGAGAGCAGTGAGCTAAACTAGATAGAACTAGATCAGAACTAGATAGGCACTGATATTTTTAAAATACCCTGAGGAAATGGAAACATATCATAAAGGCTGTGATTTACAGAACAGGAAGTTATAATGACAATTTTACCATCTTCACCCACATCCAAATGCAAAAGAAAATATTAGATTTCAAGTTCTGACAGCCAGTATTTGAAAAGTAACCAATATTTATATTCTACATCCAATAAAACCAAATAAATAGATAAATAAATTCCCCTGTGACATTTACCTAATTTAGTAAAATACCCTATTAACTAAAGTAATGAAACACATATATTATCCCTTTTTTGTCTATCATTAGCGACTCTTTAAATCCTGAATTGAGGCTAGGAATTACTTCCAATGGCATCAGTAATATTTGGGTAACCCCTTCCCTGCTATTGAAGGATAAGCACAGCTTTTTAGCTTTATCTGCACAGATATCTGGAACAGGCCACAATCTGAGGGACTATCTGGAGCAGTACAGGGGAGACAAGTCCATTTAGCTGCAATAAGAATCACAATAAAACAAGTTTTTGTCTAACAGTGTTGTCCAGATTTCATCTACAGCAAAAGACAGCTTTTAACTTAAGAGTTATAAGTAACATGTTAGTGATATTGATTTAACTATCGGCAGTGACTGACCCGCCAAACTTCAGTATAAACATTAAAACTAAGTATAAAAATACATAATTATGAATTAAGGGAACTTATTTGTTGCCTGAACCAACAATGTATTTCAAGGCTGGTTTTTAAAATTGTTTTCAGTTAAACAGCCAGGATATTTGTGGGTGATTTTAACAAGTTTAATGAGATGAAACTAATTACTTAAAATACATTTATCAAAAATATTGAAATGCTGAAGTCAAAGATCAAAAAAATTGAAAGAAAAGCTAAATCTGGATAATTAAAACTGAAGACATTTTTAATTTCCATTTATGTTGCATTGCCAGTTCTCATCCACATGAAACACTCTTCACTGTTTTACACCCTATTAATTATAAACAGTGTGAATGTGTTTTATTCTAATTAAATTGTCAAGTTTACATGGAAAAATAAATTATTTTTGGCAACTAGGGTCTAATGTATTCTAAGTGAAAGTGTATTTGATTAAAAGTTTATAGAACTAGAGAGATATCTTGCACTTTAACTTCAGTTAATTCCTGACAGTTTAACATCTCTCTCTCTCTCTCTCCTCATTGTTTGAAGATATTTTAAAACACCATCTTAGTTTACACTGGCTGCGAGCAATCTAATACTTGATTATTCCATAGCAATAATTCACAGTAACTTTCAATAACCAATGAGAACAGCATTCTTTAAGTAACTATTATTTGGTATAAGTTTGAATCGATCTTTAAAGAGACTAGAAAAAGAACTGTTTACATAACTAATTTCTATTGTGGTGCTCAACCAATGCTGCAAACTCATTAACTAGGGATTTTATATTAAAATGTAGAAACCCCTTTGCAGAAAATGTGATCATTTCAGCTGGTTTGCTTCACTGCAAGACCTTATAAAGCTTAAAGATGTAAATCCGATTACAGTAAAATACACACAATGCATCCAAACAAGAGATCTTTTCTCTTAATGATTCAGAAATTCATCAATAAGGACTTTGTGTGTCACAAAACTGCTTTGTAGATCCATCTGCAAAAGTATGCAGAAAACTACTCTTAACATGGCAATGTTTGCATTGAAATGCTTTATCTGATTATGGGAAAACATTCTGAGCTTTTTAAAGTTTGAAACTAGGGGATTAAAAAATGCAAAACAATACCAAGTATTATGCACATTCATTCCAGCTGCAGAACTGTCAACAAATCGCATATGAAGAAACAAAGCTTATTCAGCAATATTTCATCATGCCTTGTCCCTTGCTGCAGAAAATGTTTAGCTTCAAGACTTTTTCATCTGAGGAATGAGCAGTTATTTCTGAGCAAACATGATATGTCTGTCCCAAAGACAAAAATTTGTCTTCTGTAGCTGAGTTTCTGTCAGAATTGCTGAGAAAAATACAAGAACACATCTGACTTTTAGGATATGGCTATCCATATAAATCTGGTTCATTAATTCACTAACACACAATATGGATTAATTTTAATGGCACAACTTTTTTACCATATCAAAATCTATTTTAAACTCATGTTGGCAACTGGGAAAGTAATCACAATTGCTTATATTTGGATTTGTATGGTAAAATATACTGCAGTATTTTTTGAAAGAAAAACGTAAGGATTGTTCACTTTAATGTTACAGATACTAGTAACTGAAAATATTTCATAAAATGAAACGCTCAGAAAAATTGTGTGTTGACCAGTTGATCTCTTAGAGTTTTAAAATAAAAGATGAATATTGGCACGATTGATCTACCAGATGGCTAGATTCTCTTCTCTGGATTTTCAACACATGCTGTGAGTTTCTCTCATTTAAATCCAGCTGTACGAACAGACACAAATGATTCCATATATACCACTTTTAAGTGAGAGATGTTTTATCTCAGAAGTCATCCTTACCAAAAGATCCTCACCAGCAATTCCCCGGTTGTTAAAAACCACGCATCTAAAAATTGAGACAGTAAATTCAATTATACACATTGTTTATTTCACTAAAAAGATAACTTAAACACACAAAAAAATGAAAATGCATAAAGAAAAATGAGCCAGTTCTATGAATAAGTTCAGCACATAAACATTTAAAGACCTACAGATCCTAGAGCCTGACCTGTGTAGAACAAGCTTTATACCAAAATTGAGTTCACTGAGGTCAGTGGGACTCTATATGAGCCCCTTGATTTGCTGGTCAAGGTCAAATTGCAGGGTGAGAACCCCAGGGTTTACCTGAAGATGGTACAGACATGTCCTGCCTGCACTCTGCCATGAGCTCTGCCAGCGCAGGGCTGAGCCTAAAGCTGTGCTCTGAAAAAGAATGTCAGATATCCGTGCGCAGACATCCTCCAAAGCTACATAATTGTATTAAATTGCAAGAAATGAGCCAAATCAAAATTATACTGAGAGCTGCATCTAAGTTGCAGGTTCTTGGGGATTTTTTCTGTCTGGTACAGCATAAGTTTCTGTTCTCTCCATGTTGGTGGGAGTCTCTGAATCTTCCAGCAGCATTACCATGATTTAAGGATCTATACTTTCTTAATAAATCTTTCTTTTCTATTACTCTAGCACCATCTCACTGTAACAATGTTGTTAAATAATATATACATATTTTAGATGAGTTAAAGGCATGAAAATATATCTATTTTGGTATTTTTCTCAAATGTTGCTGATTAAAAATAAAATTATAGTATTCTCTTGAAATCCGACCTAAAGCTCTCCTTTTTAATGCTATACCTTCTTTTCTTAGGTGATCAAATGCAGATATTACTTTCAGGAATACTTTAAAACTTAATCGTAACAAGTTGTTGATTTCAGGGCTACCTCTGATATTTTTTACTGCTAAGTTTTAAAGTGATTTTAAAAGTACTTTGAACAGTCAAAGTGCTACTTTACTTTTATAATTTAGTAAAGCAGTTATCCAAACCTCCAAACAGAGAAGAGATAGCCAGACATGTAGATAAAACCTCATATGTACATATTTGAAGAACTTATTACAGTCAGTACCAGAAGCCAATCTGCAAAGACAAAATGTAATATTCCAAATACAGGTTCTGGAACAATGACAACTTATTTTGACGTGCAGCAGCAGCAGCAATATGATTACATAAAGGAGTCTACTCATCGACTAATCCACTTATTTTACCCAACTCTGACCAGAAGCCTCAAGAACAAAACTAAATTACACTGTGACAATTAAGAAGTGACAGACCTCCTCCTTAAACACCAACAGTAAGAGCAGGCTAGCTCTCCTTTCTGCACGCAGGAATTTGAGGCTGCTGAATAAGCAATTTTGGCATTCAGAAGCTGACCTCCTCCAAGGCCTATTGATAGCAACCCATCCATACAAGTTTTCTTGGAGCTGAATATAAACTCCTTCTCTAGAAAGTGTAAAGGTTAACACAAATGCTGATATCATAATTTAAGAAGCAGCAGTGAAAGCCCTATGCAGACTTAGCTTACTTTCACTGCAATCTCTCGGGCACATCTGTAGATACTAAAACAGCCCTTCCAAATGTACTGCCTGTTACGTAATTCCACTGTGATTATTATTACTAATAACACTTCCTTACATAAACTAATGTATTTAGATCTCATTTGCCTTTGGAAGGCATCTTATACACATACATAATTATATTTGATCCTATTAGAAGCAGCAAAATACTGGCAATGAAATACAACAGCACCTATATCCCAGCGTTTCGCTTTGATGGATCATATGAAGAATGTAGGATTCCTTGCTCGTTCCTGTCAGGCCAGGCAATAACAGGACGGTGGGTCTTGTGCTGGCATCCGGATAATATAAGCTGTCATTATTATCAAACCAATCCAATGAAATCTGTCCTCCATCTGCTGTTTTAATGAGCTCACTGAAAGGCACATTTCAAGACAACACTGATTAGATTGAAAAATACATACACACTATTTATAAGAGTGCTTGCAGTGTACAAATTACCAGGTGTGAATTCTGCATTTTTCATTATGTTTTAATACTCAAAGTGCCACATGTCTGCATGTTTACCATGCAGAAAGAGTCACACCTACAGCTGACTAGAGTTAGAACAGTCAGTTTGTGGAGTAATTCCTGTTCACAGTAAATGAAGAGCTGGCCTTTTATAAATTGCTGCTGATGTACTGGAAGCCTGTTACTAATGTGATTTTTGGCACTGCCTTCTGTTTTATATAGGCTTGTGTACTGGAGATTTCCTTTGGATCATCTGAGAATCTTTTGATAGCACACTGGACAACATGATAAACATTTATCACATTTTTTTCCTCTTTATCCAAAGAAGCAGAATATATAATGGATGGCACTTTGTTATGTTTTAAACATGTGGAGCACAGACACACACTACTGTATCTTCCACCCTGTATCTCCACAAACTTTGCTAGAATGCACTTTTAAGCCATATATCTTAACAATGCAACAAATATTATGTCTCAAGAAGTTAAGCATGCACTAAACAATGACAAAAAGGTTTCATTCCTTTTTTAGAAACATACAGTATCTTCCCCTCTTCCTAGCAACGAAGACACTGTTCGAGAGAGCTGGTGTAGCAACTACCAAAATGTATGCCTACCTTGCAATTGATTTTTCATTTTAAAGTCTTGGTAGCAACTACTCCAGATTTTAAAGGCAATCACCCTTGTTGGAATCTAGCTCAGCTTTGCCCTTTTTCAGTAATGGGAAGTAGATTAAATGCTGGTGTGTACTGCCAACACAATCTCAAATGTGCAAAATAAGCATTGCCCCGTGGAATTATTTCTTCCCTCACATACCTTGAAATAGAAATATGCAAGAAGGACTAGAAAAAGTGTTCCCTAATTACTAAAACTAAGGGAAGCTGCTAAATGCTAAATCTATTCTACCATGCAAGCAGAGCTGAAACAACTTGTGTTGCATCCAGGTTCCGGCGCATAAAAGTACTTCTCCTTAGGTCTTGTGCCAAATGCCTCATTTGCCAGGCTAAGTCTCATTTCTCTGTGAGAGAGATCAGCTGAGGGCAAGCAATAAATATAAGGGGTTTTTTCCCTCTTAGAATTTAGGCACCAAAGAACACAACATAAACCCCATAGGTAAAAGTTACTCTGAAAAATCCATGAAGTTCTGTATATTCAAAACAAGGCTGCAGAAATGGATTGACAGGAGCTTCATGAAGTTCAGTAAGGGGAAGTGCAAAGTTCTGTATCTGGGAAGGAACAACCTGTGTACTGGTACAGGGTGGAGGCTGACCATCTGGAAAACAGCATGGCAGAAAAGGACTTGGGGGTTCTGGTGGACACTGAGTTGAACATGAGCCAGCAGGAAAGAAGACCAACAGCCTGGAGGCTATGGAGGCTTAGGAGTCTTGCCGCCAGGTCAAGGGAGGTGATCCTGCCCCTCTATGGAGCACTGGTGAGGCCACACCTGGAGAACTGTGTCCAGCTCCCGGCTCCCCAGTACAAGGAAGACATGGACATACTGGAGAGAGTCCAGCAAAGGGCCACAAAGATGATGAAGGAACTGGGGCCTATCTCCTCTGAGAAAATGCTGGGAGAGCTGGGACTGCTCAGCCTGGAGAAGAAAAGGCTCAGGGGGAACTTAGCAATGTGCTTACATACCTGAAGGGAGGGTGCAAGGAAGATGGAGCCATGCTCCTTTCTGTGGTGCCCATTGACAGAACAAGAAGCAGTGGGAACAACCTGAAACACAGGAGCTTCCCTCTGAACATCAGGAAACAGTTTCAATGTGAGGGTGACTGAGCACTGGCACAGGCTGCCCAAGGATGTTGTGCAGTCACCATCCTGAGGGAAATCCAAAAACCATCTGGACGTGGTCTGGGGCAACTGGCTCTGAGTGACTCTGCTTGAGCAGGGAAGTCAGACAAAGTGACCTCTGGAGGTCTTTTCTGATCTCAACCACTGTGTAATCCTATGAACATATAACCACATCAGTTTCTATATTATCACTAATATTTCAGTGCTCCAAAACTCTCTGAGCTAAAATAGGGCCATTTGGAACATTGACCTTTTAAACCTACTGCATATTGAATCCATGATGAAGACAGTTTCAAGCCTATGATGGAGTTGTAAAGGTGGGCATAAAGCAAAAACACACAAGCACAAACTTGAGCAATGACAGTAGACGTGACATGATTAGAGTAAGGTAACAACTGGCTAGCAAATCAATCACTTAAAAAAAAAGGGGCACTTACTTCCTGTACTGTACTTGGGGTCTAGATGTGATAAAGGGGCGCAGGAGTGTCTGTACCCGACCTTCCCAGCACCAGATCGTGGGATAGTAAGTTTCTGTCACAACAGGGCAATATTCCTCGAGAAAGCGGCAGAAGCGGTCATTGCTGGCCACAAGCTGGGGTTTCTAGGAAGAGAGACTACAGTCAGGCATAGGCATTCATATAAAATAAACTAAAAAACAAATAAAGAAAGAAATTAATAATTGCTTAAATCCTCTCTGAGTGAACTGATTTATTTCATAAAATCATTTGCAATGCTTTTTCCTTCCATGGTAAAAAGAAAAGTAAATGAAAATCAAATGAAGTGCCAAGATGCCCGACAGAAAAGTGAAACCCACTAAACATAATGGACCCCTTACCTACTTCTAATAACATACTGATCTAGCTCTACTTTTACCAGCATTGTATCTTCACTGACAAATCAAAACCCCACCATCTCTCGGTAGGTGAGAAAGATTTTACCTAGTCCATTTTCTTGGTCTGCACAGAAATAACACTTAATTCGTGCACTTTGACCGTGCACCTGCAGTACCCACTTTAACCTGGTAGGACACTCCTCCTTCTCTCTCATACTACAGTACAAGACTGCATCGGTTCTTCATCTCTGATAATGCTCTGCATGCAGAGAATTTCCTTACAGCTTCCATTTGTATACCAATTAATGTGGAAAAATCCCTGTATAGCAAACATCTTATGTTTTAGCAACCATATTTCTTAAACTTCTATTTTACAGTGACTCTACAACATGCAAGCATTCATAGGGCAAAACCAGATACTTTGAGGAAAACCGTTACATATAAAGTGCAGTAGTGTCACATCCTCACTTCTTTTTTTCTCCTGTGACCAAAATCAAGTACCCTCTTCTCAATGAAGAGGAAGGCTACGTTCTCAGTGTTCTCTGAAGGACTGTGGCAATACTCAGGTCCTCAACAGTCAAAAACCTTTTGATATGCGTATTTTCAGCTGATTAAGCATTCAACGAGGCGCTCTCACCACGGGGCCACTTTAGATCTGATCAGGCTCACTGTATCCAAGTAATTTGCGATTGCCTAATTTGCCTATGAAACCATTACTGATGAGGAGATGTACAAGAGTGCTCTAGCCCCCAAAACACTGCCATAGTGGCTCCAGAGGTACTTAGGATGGTACCGACGGCAGTACAAGGACAGAAAAATTACTTTATCACCTGCCCTGCTAGTAAACCAAATAGGTCAGGTTTTTTTGTGGAAGGAGGGTTCCTGACCTCCCTTTCCAAACCATGGCATCCAGCCAAGCTCTCTCCCTGGTACAACTGCATTTTGGGGACGCACGAGGCCAGAGTCCCTTATCCTCCCAGACCACAGGAGCTGTCCCTCACCTCAGGCCGGTGGTCCCGGGGGTCATCGGAGGCCCCCGCGGAGGAAGCAGCCCCGGCGGGCGGGGGTGGGCTGCACTGGCCGGGGCCGTGCGGGGTTTCGGCTGGCCGGCACCCCGAAGCGGCTCCTCCAGAGGATGGACGGCGGGTGTGAGGACGAGGTGGCCGCAGAACCCTACCCCCCAGCCGTTCCAGATGCCGATCCCCTCGCCTGGAGGGCGCCGGCGGCTCCCCTACGGGCAGTGGGTCGCAGTGACCTTCCCGGGACGGTTCCCCTTCGGCGGGACACCTGCGGAGCCCGCCCGCCCCGCCGCCCTCCCGCTCACCTTGGCGATGCTGTTGAGGTAGTAGCAGGCGTAGGCGACGCCGAAGCCCAGCACCAGGGACAAGCCCACGCCAGAGCCGAAGAGCCCCACGCGGACCTGGCTCTCCAGGTAGAGGGAGAGCTCCCTGGTCAGCACCTTCCAGTCCATCGCACACGGGGGGCGGCGCGGCGCGGCGCGGCACGGCACGGCACGGCACGGCACGGCAGCACACACCGGCTGCCGCGGCCGAACCCACCCCACGGCCGAGGGAGGAGAAGGAAGAGGAGGAGAAGGAGGAGCTGCCGCCTGCCTCCCGCTGCCGCTGCCCGCGGACCTCTTCGTGCTGCAGCGCCGCCGGCGGCATCCCCGCACCGCCCCCGCACCGCCCCCGCACTGCTGGCCGGGCCTTGGGCCGGCTCGGAGGGGTCACGACCGGGGGAGGCAATCCTGGGCGGCCTAGGGTGTCCCTCCGCGGCACGGCGGCCCCACGGCAGGTGCCATCCAGGGCCGCCTTCGGTGTCGCCTTGTCCCGGCGCTTTCCCTCAGGCAGGGAGGGTGTGGGGAGTCGGATAGGAGCAGCTGATGCAGGCGTGTGGAAACTCGGTCATTCTGGGGTAGGCAGCGTGTCCCCTTCCCAAACGCTGTTATTTGCGCAGGACAGGAGTCCTGTATCGTACAGGAGGAAGAGGGGACATGGAGGCTTCCAAAGGCAGCACTGGTTAGTCAGCAATAGCTCTCTAAATATTTTACGTGAGACTGAAGAGTGCAACTGCTTTTCCACTTACCACTGCTGTTATAAGGCATTAGTGAGGAACGGAGAGGTGTAGAGGTATGTCTAACTCCCAAGAGAATTTCTGCCTGCTCCCTTTTCAGCTGTATGGATTGTTGCTTGGAGGCCCTCGTATGTTTACTAACTCAGATGCTCCCCCGTTCAGCTTCAGAAAAAGATGCACAGTATCTGCATCTTTTCTTTGGCAAAGTCCTAGGAGCACAGCTGATAACACAAAAATCTTGGAACTGAGCATCTGCTATTTGAGATGCAGGCATGCAGCATGGGACACAGAAGTACTTTGCCTCTCCTTATTTTATGGCTTGGTTCCATGAACTGCTGAGAGAAGACAAACCTTGCTTGGTGAGACTCTTCACTTCTTACCTTATCTGTGTTTTCTTGCTATAACCAAATTTTAAAATCTTAAAAAAAAAAGAAAATAAAAGAAAAAGAGATATGGCCTTTTTCAGTTGTTCTCCCTTACTAGGACAGATCTTACCATAGAGATTCTGCTCTGACATAAAGCATTCTCAGCCCAACATTTTCTTGTTCACTATGAACAAGCACTTGGATATTGCACCACAGCTTAACATAGAGAAATACTGAAAGGGACTTCAGCTTTCCGTAGAGAAAAATGCTATCATCTTCATACTGTGTAACCAAACAGTCTGCTTGGTGCAGCAATGGGGGATTCCACTCCTGCTTTGACAACTATCATGGAACCCCATTGTAATATCTAAAGACTTTGCAACCAAATGGTTGTTTCTGATTGCTTTGCTTATTTGGATTTGGGATTTTGAAACATCAAGCATGTTTTACTGTTCAATCTGATGAGCAGAAATCTTCTACTTATCACCTTCTTCTCAAGCAAAAGCAGTTTGTACAGTTTTAAGGATTTCTCATTAAAGAATCAGCATGATCAAAGTATGCAGAGTAATTAATTGATGTGTTAAGAAAGGTGAACTAATAAGAGCGTATTGCAGAGATCTGAAGAAATTTTAAAATATCTGTCCAGTCAGCCGTCCAAAGCTTCTGGAAACATGGGGGCAGAGCTACTGCAGCCATTGAAAAGAGTATGGGAATTGGTAAGCAGAGGCAGGAATGATCTAGGGTTTGTTTCTTTTTCCCTTCAGCTGTTACAGAAACAGGAATCTGAATGGGTGGAAAACCTACTGTCATCAACACGGTGCTGCCTCTGCTGATGGAGAGCACCCATATTCAGGTCTTGGTCCTGACTTGCTGGGAATGTGTGTTGGACACCACAGATTAAAGGATTTATCATGAAGGAACACTACGGTGTGAGCAGCTGGAGTGGATAGCTTAATTCACAGAACATGGAGGCTTCATCAACAACATGAATTTAGGAATCTTTGGAGAGACTAATTTGGCTGAACTGAGGACTAGACTTTAGGATGCAGAGGAACCTGCAATGTCCGAAGGAGGAAACTGGTTGTTCCTTGCAACAGATTGTTCTCCCGCATTCAAGTCCTATCCCCATTAAGCTGACGAATCCTTGAGTCACCCAAAAACTAAAGAAAAGAAAAATCCCAAACATCTGAGAAAGAAGAGGACGCAGACTGTCCTTGGGTCTAGAAGGCCCATATGTTTGTATAAGTGCATATACATATTTGACTGAGAAGTGAAAGATGTGGCTGTTGATGATTAGAGAAAGCCTTTGAGACATACAAACCCAGTAGTTTAGTCAACAATTAAGAGAGATTGCATGCCTGAAAAAAAGATCCACTCGCACAGGTTGATGAGGTTTGTCTTTGTATTTGACTCCTCCCTACCTTGTGTTGGTTACTCATGGGAATATTAACATGGTCAGATATGTGACATGCCATAGGCAAACTGAAACAAATTACATGTACTGAGAAGTACTCAGCTTTTTGTTTTTGTTTTTTTTTTTTTCTACTATGTAAATATGTTGCTACACTGACAATAGCAATAATGTTAATAACTTCCTTCTATTTCAAGCAATCCCCATCAGATCCTCCAGTTCCAGTATTGGGGGTTTTTAAGTCTTTAAAAGGTTATCCTCTGACCTACATACAATGCATTCTGCAGAGCTGATAAAGAAAAGGCTGTATGCTGCTCATATTACAAACACTTCCAAGCAGTTGAGTAACTGCATATTATATGTGTATGAAAAAACAAGGTGGTCACTATGGTGTTTTGAACTCTAACTGCATTTTTTTCAGAGGAAGAGAGTTCTACATTCTCAGAAAGACTTGTTATTTGCACTATGGTCTCTGCTCTCTAAGTGCTTCATAAAACGATTGCCTCAACCCACCAGTAATGGATTATAGATTAAGCAGAAACGAAAGGGCACAGGATTGTTCTTTCATGTTGTCTCCCAATTTATTTTGCTTAAGCAATAGATAATAATTGACAGAAGCAATTGAAGAGTCACAGTTTGATTTGCCTTTTTTAACTAGGAGGCTGCACTAGGTTGTCTTTATGTTATTTTTTGTTAGGGGAGGCGGTTCTGTGATCATTTGTGGTTTGGAGTAGAGTCATTATGTTCTTACTGACATTCCAGTGGACAATTGCAAGCTGGTCCCACTGCAGTTCTCTGTAGTCCTGCTCTTGGAATGGATTTCAATAGGCAGCACTTCTGAGGTGGGGCAAAGTGACTTTAAACCTCAGAGTTTTAAATTTGATGTTCTGTTTGATTTTATTTTTTTATATTTTTTTGCCTTTAGCATTCATATGACAAAATGGGAAAAATATCTTTTGTCAGTGTGACCTATCTTGGGAACATTTAAAAAGCTCCAAATCCATGCATAAAACATCTGAGAAGTTTTCCATTAAAGCAGGGAAGAAGGTTCTTAATGTTGCTAATATTTATTATCAGCAGGGGAACGGGAAAAAAAGCGCATTTGAAAAATTCAATTCAGCATTTCTTAAGCCTCCCTCATGCATATTATAGATTTTTCTTTTCTTAAAGTATGAATGAAGTAGGGCATTAATGAAGTCAGTGAAAATGTTCAATGTTGGAGGCTCTTCAAATTTCAGAGGAAGAAAGCCAGGCTGTGTTTATGTTGGTACTCTTAGTGCTTGTGAAAAAAAAATCAGTAATTGTGGCACTAGGAATAACTGCTTCTGCTTGTCCCCTTCTTGAGCTTTGCTAGTCTTGCTATTATCTCTCTATTCCTATGCATCCTTATGTTTTTATTCCATGATTCTTCACTCCCTCATGAAGTATTTCTCAGCCCTTTACAGTGGTAAAATTGGAAGGAACATAGGATTCAGAAGGAATTTTTTGGGTCATGTGTTGGCGGATGAGAAACTCAACATGACCTGGCAATCATTTGCATCCGAGAAGGCCAACAGCTTCCTGGACAGCACCAAAAGGATTGTGGCTAGCAGGGAAGAGAGATGGTTCTCCCCCTCTACTTCATCCTTGTGAGACCCCACCTGGAGTACTATGTCCAGCTCTGAGGTCCTCGGCACAGGAAAGATGTGGTCCTGTTGGAGTGGGTCCAGAAAAAGGCCGTGAAGATGATCAGAGGGCTGGAGCACTTCTCCTGCGAAGGCAGGCTGAGAGAGATGAAGTTGTTCATCCTGCGGAAGAGAAGGGTCTAGGGAGACCTTACAGCAGCCTTTCAGTACTTAAATGGGGGCTACTTAAAGAGAGCTGGAGAGGGACTTTTTACAAAGGCTAGTAGTGGTAGGACAAGGGGAAATTGGCTTTAAACTGAAAGAGGGTTGATTCAGAGATTTTAGTAAAGTTGTGGATGTCCCATCTCTGAAAGTGTTCCAGGCCAGGTTGGATGGGACTTGGGGCAACGTGGTCCAGTGAAAGGTGCCCCTGCCCATGGCAGGAGGGTTGAAACGGGATGATTTTCAAGGTCCCTTCCAACCCAGGCCATTCTAGGATTCTATGATAATTTGATTTAACTTCTTCCCTTAAACTTTGATTTAACTTCTTCCCAATTAAAATGTATTTCAATTCAGCAGGTGTAGCAGGTGTTTCATTCTCTGTTTAGGTGGTTGAAGATATCTTCAACAGCTGCTGCAACAGGAAGTCTCAATATTTGTCTCCCTTGGGATGACTCTTGCAGGATCTAATCTACATGAAACCAGTTCCCTGCCTTTGAATACAGGTGGAGAACTGCTAAATACAAAATTGTGGTTAGTAGAGCAACAGACCAATTTGGTTCATAATATAAAAATTCTAAAACATTTATTTAATATTAAATATTAGTTAAATAATATTTAAATATTTAATATTTAAATAAAACTTTGTTTTGTATCGTGTAAAATGTTCACAGAAGAGTTACAACGAATGTTAAAATTCTTTGCTATATAGCTGAGTGTAACTCTCACAAATGTCTATTAATTTAAAATTGATTGTTTTGTTCAGAAATCAAAGATCCAGGACATGTTGAAAACTGAGAATATGAGACAGTACAGTATAAAATAATTTGAAAGCGAGCAAATATATTGAGAGCATTTATCTTACCAATTTTTTTTCATTAAAAATGTTAACAGAAGCTACTACAGGACTTAGAGAATTTTTGTAAGAGTACAGTAGAGTACAGGGTGTTGAATCTAGGTTAAATTTCATTCTGTCTCCAAGGAGTATTTACCGCAGCATAAAGTAAAAGATTCTCAATTTCATTTACCTATTTTCATTCCTTCATAATCCCTTCAAAGAGGATAAAAATTTGTATCTGGTATTTCAAACACAAAACCAAAGCATTTTAGAATGCTTTATAGTAATGTCACCCACCCCCAACCAAATAACTTCCATATACATTTGGTAAACTCTTGTTCTGCCTACATCAACAGTATGGCTCCAGCTGAATTCAGCAGAGTCAGAAATATGTCCAATTAATCTTTTTCCTTTAGACAATTTCATACATTTTCTTTAGCATGTTAAGGGTGAAAATTATTTAGAAGTATTAGACACAAATTTAAATGAAACATATTTTAAAAATGTTTACTTTATGCAAAACATTTGGCCTTGTTCAGCAACAGATTTTTTTTTTAAATTTCTAGCTGGTTTTTAAATAAATACAGATTTCAACAAGTCTATTAGAGTGTACTGGAAATCTTACTTCTTAGAATTTAGGATTACATAATGATGTGACTGGGACTATTTTCTTGTGACAAAACATAGAACGTTTAGATTCTGCTTGAGTTACTCAATGTTTGTTACTATTTTGGCAGATTATTAAAATTAAACATGGATATTATTCGGTGCTTAAGTCACCTTTTAGGTATTACTTAGTGCATATTGAGTGCCTTTGTAATACAAGACAGACCTGTACTTGACTGTAAGCACACAATCAGCCACAGTGACTGCAACAAAAATTATCACGCAAATGAATTCTTAAAATATCTTGATGAGTCATGGAGACAGTTTATTTTCCTATCAGTCTAAAAATATAACCTAGCTGGTTCTGATGACATCTGAGAATTTTAAGTGAGTACTTTCTTTACAATCTTTGCAATCAGGAAATTTAATATCAGGAAGGAATTAATGCCTCCTTTCAATGCATCAGTTAATTTAAAAATCATCTATGAATAAAACACCAACATGTGGCTAAACCGTTGAAAAGATCAGTAAAAGTATACATTTTTTAATCCTCTGAGCTATGCTGAAATAGGAGAATTTGTATAGATATTCCAACAGGGGTACACGGTATTGTAGTGTGTATGGCCTAGATCGCTACAGAATTTTTACTTATTTTATTTTGTCTTTGAATATCTAAAACCAAGCTTAACCTCACAGATATGTTGTTTTCTCTCCACTCAAAATAGTTCAGCATAGTAAAACTTAAAGCGTTAACCAAGGAAGAAGATTCCAGGATGCTCCTGTCACAGAAAAGTAATCTTCTTTATCCTAAAACACTTTTTTCCGACATGTGGAAGTTTTTAGCTAGATGCAGAAAAAAATTTCTTCTTTTTTTGCAGATCTCTGTGGGATTACTGTGGTTCACAGCAGGAAGATGAAGTGACGTATGTATTATCTGTTCTCTGCTCAGCTGTTTTTCCTTCCTAGCAAAGAAATAGCAGATAGAACTCCTTAGGGAAAGAAACAGCGTTATGGACAAGGTGGGTTAATACATTAACCCACTGATTACCAGTTTCATAGAGGGATACCAGTAGCAGAACGAAAACCAAACCCACCAAAGCAGTTTGTTGTGTTGCATGACCAACTTGCTCACTGTCTGGCATTAACAATATTTCAATCTGCAGAAACTAGGAAAAAAAAATCAGCGTCAATTATTCATGATATTTCTGAAAATTGAGGAAGAAAATTATATTGTGTTATGGGTAATGAACCTGGTAAATAAAGCTGAGGAAATACAGTGCAACAAGTTAAGAGGATTGGGTGAATTTTAGCATTAATGGATGGTTCATGGCCACGCGATGGCAGCAGAGGCTGAGGAATTAGGGTTGTTTTTGACTATAAACTACGGATAAACCGGATATGCCCTGAAGTTCCTAACTGGTACTTCAGGTTCCAGAAAATTACATTATGTACATTGTGTACATTTTCATTTTAAAAGATGTGGCATGTTCATCAGACCAGAAGTTTCTGTGGAGAGGGGTTACATACTTTTCTTAAAAAAAAGCCCACAAAAATGAAAGAAAAATACATTTGGGGCAATTTTTTTTTTTACAGTAGAACCGCATTTTTCATCTCATTTGTCAATGATTCCATCTTTCTTCCTCACTTGTTGAGTTAGTTCCACCCAGAAGAGTGGGTGTATTTTGATAAAAACAAGGCGGTTGCTTACTTTTTCCTAAATTCTTTTCCTAATACTTTTGTCCACAGGAAAAAACTCCATTATAAAACCCCCTTTGGGGAAACCATAAAATTAAAATCTAGAATGTCTTCATTTTTCAAGGGGAGGACTAAAAAAACTTGCTTGTTGAACTGAGGAGGCAGAATTTTTGGAACTCAGAGCTCTTTGTATTTTAAAAAGAAAACTACAATCTTCTCATTATATGTAAACTAGATGCTCTTTCTCAACTCCTAGGAAACTATTTATGTATGCCCTTCATATGAAAAATTATAAGAATTCAGGGTTTGTGCAAGATAGTAAACAAAACCTCAGAACGCCACAAGTTAAAAATTATCTTTCCGAGAAGTTGAGATTTTTTTCTTCTGAAATGTATAAAAGCAGGCCTTTCACATGGAATTCTCTACTGGAATAGGCAGAGTTCCCTTTCTGCATTGCGTGTTCCAGATCCTACACTACAAGTTCGGGTTTAATCAAAAAAGACAGTCCAGAACTTCTACCAGAGTCTCTCTTCAATCCATGCAAATACTTATATTATGATTTTCTGCTGGAGCATGACATTTTACAGAACTCAAAGGCAACCAGGTAGAGTTTAGGCAAGCAGCCTTCTGGAACAGCTTAGATGGATAGGATCATAGACTGGATGTCCTCCAAGGTCCTATTTCCTGTGACTCTATGAGGGTTGTCTTGAGGGCTGCCCTACCCTCTAGGAGGGTAGCAGCTGCTCTTACAAAAAGTCAATATGCTCTCCAACAATAACAAGATGTTTACAGGGATGTCATTAGGGTATGCACAGCCCTGAATTCTACATAAACCAGAGGTCTTCTCTCTTGGCCTCTCACTGGATTGCTCTAATATGGCAGGAAGTGGTGAGGAAGACCATAATCACCAGCTGGAGGATGGCATGACTCAGCAATATACATAATTTCGGGTAGCCAGAAGGGAACTCTGTTCAGTAGCTCATTTTGGGCATCCAGATTCCTGCACTGAAGGCATGTGAATGAGTCTTTGCAATTGCAGGCCAGTATGCCTAAAAGCTCTCTGGACTTCCTTCCTCCAGCCTGGGATTCAACTGCTCTGTCACGACTACCCGAGGTGTTCCAAGCGAGCCCTGCCTCACAGGGCAGGCAGCAGCACTGTTCAGGTAAATCAGGCCTTTGGCAGGTGAGCTTTGGTTGCTTCTGCTGCAGCAGCTTAAGGCATTACTGCTCTGCCAGTCTGCCCTGGTGCCCTCCTCCTATAACAGGAACAGTGGGAGAAAACCACACAGTCCTATTCCTCTACTGGTGCTAGGTTTGAGGAGGGTTATGAGCAAGCATGATTTCTAGACTGTAGACCCACAAAGCAAAGAAAGCAAAGAAAAAAAAATCTCCTAACGTTAGTAGTGAGGTTTTACATGGCATTTCCCCCCCACAATCTGAGGACTGACAGATTAAATTACCTGGAGTATGAGCACATGGGTTCACAAGGGAAAGTCCTGTTTAACCAGTTTGATACCTTTTTGTGATAAGGTCACACATCTAGTGAATGAAGGGAAGGTAATGGTTGCAGTTTTTCTGGATTTTAGTAAGGCTTTTGATATTGTCCTTTACAGCATCCTTCTGGACAAGTTGTCCAATGGTGGGATGAGTAGGTTCACTACACAGTGGGCAAAGAACTGGCTGAAGGACAGAGCTCAAAGGGTTGTGGTGAGTGAGGCCACATCTTGCTGGTGGCTGGTCACCAGCGACGTCCCTCAGGGCTCAATTCTCCTCCTGTGCAATGAGGGGCAAATGCAAGTTTAGGAGATGTGATAAGCTCTCAGCACACATTACAAGAAGAGAACAGTCCTAATGAGAGACCAGGGACTTGTTAGAGACAACTGAAAATCCACATGCATCTATTTTGTGTGCAACCAGCCAGCCAAGGAGCTAACCCTTTCTGCCTTGCAAAAGGCCTTAAGCCAACAAGGCTTAATTTTTCCAGCTGAAAAATTAATATGAGTTCTTTCCTAGAGGTGTTACTGTGACTAGTTTCCCAGTCTAAAGAAAATGCTGATTCGTATCTGAAAATGCTGTATTTGTTACTTTTCCTGTCACAACATGTTAATTGGATCCAACTTCCTATGGAATCTTCATCTTGTTTATTCATTTGCTTGTTTATTTATCTCTAATTTTACTTCAGCTTCTTTTCAAAAAGCTCAAAGCTCTCTTTTTTCTTTTTGCTATCATGTTCTGATTCTTCTATTTCCATCCTTCTGTGAATCTCAAATAATCTTCAGGTGCTTACTCAGAATTAGATTCTGTTAGAATCAATTAGAATAATTGTTATTATTCTAGTACGAATGCTGATATATATTCTTGTGGCTGCTACCAGAAGAATATTATAAAGGACCACTAAATGCCCAACTTGACAAATAAATCTTTCCCCAAAGCTATATCCTTTTCCATTCTCTGTTGTCACTTTTTAAATCTCCATCTGAAACTGGTATTTATGGGTTATTTTGAAGGCTAATTCAAATGAAAGGTTTAAGAGCTAAATACCCTTTTTTCTTACTGGCTGGTTGTGATAGACAGAGCATGAGTCGTCAGTAGGATTATCAGGAGAGAAGAAGCTCCAGGATAGTATCTACCCACATGCATGGCTGCTGAACTGCAGCAGCAGACTCTCTTGTGGTCTGTAATTTAGGAGATATCCTTCTTGGAAAAATAAATGTAACTCTTCTGATTCTCTCCAGGAGAACTAATTCTGATCTCAGACTTTGATGGGATTTTCTGGCATACATTTTTTATCCAACTGTATGAAAGAGTAATCAAAAAAAACATGCCCTGGGTTATCCTTGGATATGCATGAACCAAGGCATGAAAAAGTAGAATGAGGCAGATGGGAAAATTATGCCCATAAGAGCCTAGATAGATCCTTTGATAAACCAAGAACTGTCCAGAATTTCTGGGAAAATCTGCCATGCACCAGTGCAATAAGCTAGCACAAACTGTGGGTACCTTTACTATGAGGAGAAGCATATGCTAAAAAACCACACTGCCTGGCAATTGCATGCTCCTCTAGGGTGGTATCTGTGAAGTTCTGAGGTTTTCACTGCAGAAGCAGAAATTGGACACTGCTTGGGATCGCCCATTGTCAGGATACAATTTCATGCTTAAGGCAGCATTCTTTAGCCTTAGCATGGGTTAGGAAGGAATGAATTATGTGCGGAATGTGGTGGTAGTCTGGTGGTTACATGTTCATACTCTTCTCTGCTATACATGTGGTAAAAAACTACACAAAAGAAGTTAGAAAATGATCTCATAGACTCTTCTAGCCATATTAATAACGACAAAAGGTGGAAGAAAGCATAGAAACAGTAAAAATACCCAGGATGCAATGGTAGCTGGGCTGGGTTTTATCAGCCATATACCTGATGACTAAGAAGTGGTTTTCTTTTGTCTAGTTTATACTTGTCTGTCCTTTAAGATGGATGCTTTTAAAAAGGCGGCACAGAACATGGTTAGAGAGAGACAAAACAATTAGAGGACCCTTTTAAAAATGAAGAATCAGATTCTGTAAAAGATTAGTGAGGATATGTGCAGTTAAAGGAAATTCTTGAGTATCATGAAGCTAATGAAGAGGGTAGTTGATTAAGAATTGCATTGCAAGTATGTGCTTGACCTTTGAGCAGGTACATCATCCAGGAGGGATGCCCCAAAGTGGGAAGGGCAGGTGGAGGTACCAGTTCCTCCCTTTGGCTGACTTGGGCACCTGAATACCAGCTAAAAATGCCCCTGAGCTACAGAAGTACAGCCCCCCCAGACTCACTCACCTCAGTAGGAATGCAAGACTTGTGCCCACAGTTTGAAAAGAAAATGGGATTTCAGGACACAGAAGTAACTAAAAAAACACTACACAGATTTAGAATCACAGAGTTGCAGAATCATAGAATGGTTTGGGTTGGAAGAGACCTTAAAGATCATCTCGTTCCAGCCTGCCCTGCTATGGGCAGGGACACCTTCCACTACACCAGGTTGCTCAAAGTCCCATCAAGCCTGGCCTCGAACACTCCCAGGGATTGGGCATTCACAGCTTTTCTGGGCAACCTGTTCCAGTGCCTCACTACCCTCACATGAATTTCTTCCGCATATCCAACCTAAACCTGCCCTCTTTCAGTTTAAAGCTTGCTATGGGTAGGGACACCTTTCACTAGACCTGGTTGTTCAGAGCCCCATCCATTTACCTAAGCTAGACCGCGCACGGCTTCGTTGATATAGTTTAATTGAAAATCCCTCTGCCACTGTAGGAGAGGCGATACGAGCAACTTGTGGACGGAGGAGGAGGGCGGTACGGGAACCCGTCCGCAGGAACCGCTCCCGGCGCCGCCACCACCACATCACCTCAGCGCCGGGCGGAGCGGCGCCGCAGCCCTGGACAGGACTCCGCGATTCCAGAAGGAATCGCCAGGCTGGCGAGCTGGAGAAGTCGCAGGCAGCCCTGCCGGTAGGCATAAACAACCCTCTGTACCCTCCTCCGCTTCCTGCCGTTCCCGCGGGCGCAGCCCCGGGATCGGAGCAGGGGATCGGGGCAGTTCCCGCCGCGGCTCCGCAGGGGGCGCTCCAGCGCCGCGCCCGCCGCGGCGGCCGCGCATGCGCAGCGCGGTGGGGTGGGGGCGGCCCCGCCGGTCTCCCTGGAGCCGCCGCCGTTGCGGGCGCAGGTCCCGGATGTAGCGGCGGGAGCGGGGCCGCGGTGGGAGCGGGCGGGGGGTGCCGCCGGGGCCTGGGAATGGGCGCGTAGGGAGGCGGGGAGGAAGGAAGGAAGGAAGGAAGGAAGGAAACGAGCGGGGAGAAGAGCCGGACGGAGACTCCCGCCCGGCGCCCGAGGCAGCCGCCCCCATCGGGGTCCCCCTCCGCCGCCTGCGGGCTGCGCGCCCTCTCCGCCCGCCCCGGGGCGCCGCCGCCGGGATGAGCAGCTCGCGGAACAACCGGGTGATGGAAGGGGTCGGGGCCCGGGTGGTGCGGGGCCCGGACTGGAAGTGGGGGAAGCAGGATGGCGGCGAGGGCCATGTGGGCACCGTGCGCAGCTTCGAGAGCCCCGAGGAGGTGGTCGTGGTGTGGGACAACGGCACCGCCGCCAACTACCGCTGCTCCGGGGCCTACGACCTGCGCATCCTCGACAGCGCGCCCACCGGTGAGCGGGGAGGGAGGGAGGGAGGGCGGGCAGGGACCCCCCGGCCGCGGCGGGTCCGGGGGCAGCGCCCCGGGGTGCTTTTGGGGGGTGCTGGGGGTCCCCTCCCGGGGGCGGATGGCGCCCCTTCTTTCCCCTTTCCCGAGGTTTTGGGTGGAGGGCGGGTGTCATCCACCCTCCCCTTCCCTTCGCGTGGGTGTCCGTGTGTGTGTACACGCGAACTTGGGACAGATCGGTAGCGTGGGGCCAAGGGGAGAGGAGAAGTTGTCCTGGGACTGCTAAATTGGGGTAGACAAAGCCGAAGTGATCTGCCACAAACAGCGGGCTCCCGGTGTTCTTGGGGGGGCGGTGGAGAGAGGCGACAAGAGAGGGGGATTCATCAAGGTTTGGGTTTGTTTTCACAACCCCACCCTTCCCTTCTTGAATTTATGTTTTAGAGTGCTTTTGTGAAAGGGTGACAGTCATTCTTGAGTCCAGTATAGGGGGGGATTGCAGAAGAGAAGTGTAGCACCTTTTTGCTACAGATCACATTAAGTGGTTGAAACACGGTTTTGTCTTGTAGTCTGCACGTTGCCTTTTATCTGTATTGCCAGACCTGCCGTAAAATAGCGAAGGTACTGGGGGGGAGGAAAAAGCACATTCGTTCATTCTTTTAACTGTTTGACTGCTTGATATGTATGCTTTAAATCCAGTCATTTTGGACAATGGATTTAGATCTGCACTGATACTATGCGGCAGTGTTAGTGTTGCAAGCACTGCAGGGAAATGTTCATTTTAGCACCTCTTTTTACGGTGAAAACTCACAAAGAAAAATATTTATATTGTTAAGTTTCATCAGAAATATAACAAAGCGATTTGCGAGCTAGACAGGATTGCCTCAATGATGAAGTGATTGGACTGATTTATTGAGGTACTTGGTTGTACTGCTTTTCTAATATGTCTTTCATTTAGAACACCATGAAGAGACCATCTTTGTGCCAGCCATGTGTAGTATTACAGAAAGGAAAATTATAGCAGTGGGTCGAAGCTAAAGGACTTTTGAGGAGACAGAATCATGGAATTCACCCTCATTGATTACAAAAAGCATTGCTAAGAAAAAAAACCCTACATATTGCATGGTGAACCTTTGAGATGGTTTTAATTTTTCTGTGGCTGGGCACCTTCCTCTCTCCTGGATTCATGGTTGTTTTTTTGTTTTAAAACAAGAAGTTAAGAGTAGTCTTTCCAGTTGTCTTGCAGACATTTATGCTTTGAAACTTTACTTGCATTTGATGTCCTGCAGAAACCAGCAGGACTGCTTCTGCTTAGAACTGAATTGTATGCAAAGATGTTGAATATGAGCCTCGAATGCTCATTGTTCTGGCTCTGCTGGATGTATTTGCAAGCAGACGGTATCCGGTTAACTGCATCTGGAAGCCTAGACTTAATACTCAGTTTTAACTGTTCTAACCCTGCTTTTGTTTGGTGGATTTTATTGTTAGTTTGGTGGTTTTTTTGGTTTGGTTTGGTTTGGGTTTTTTCAGTCTTTCTAATTTTCATTTCTGTTTATACTTTTGTATTAGAATTTTCACTTCTGTTTCAGGTAGGACTGTGTATATTGCTGTGTGGAAAACTCATAAACACTGCTGTTGTCAGGCTTAGAAAAATGGTATTTCTCTTCCTAAGGTTTCTGGCCAACACGTGCATAATCCTTATGGAACTGTTGCATGGCACTACCCAGGGTTGCTTTTTGCTAGAGGGAGTTACTTTTGAGGTCATGGTTCCCTGGAGATAGGAAGAGTAAAAATGTGTGAAATAGTAGCAGCAAAAATGAAAGTTAATGGAGTTAGGATGCTGTAAATTTGGATTGAAATCTTGGTTTTACTACTGATTCACTTTGTAGTCTTGTGCAAATCACTTCCCTTCTTCACCTTTTTGTAGTGATTTATATTTTCTCCATGGTAGTGACTATCCATTGTTTGGATTAAAGGACTGACTTTGGATGATAGTTTGATACTATCTCTAGGGGCATTTACGTAAGTGGGATTAGGTGACAGGAATTTGTAATGGTAGTATTAATAATCATGCTGTTGAGCAAGGAAATATAGAATGTGGGGTGGCTTTTTGTTTGATGATACTTAGCAGGGTGTGAAATCAAGGCTCTTATAGTTTAAAATTAAAAAAAATTCTCTGGTTCACAAATTTACAATCATGACATGATTGTAAGTTTATAGAGAAATTAGATATAAAAATACAGTAGTAAAAAGCAAAATTAAACTGGCTGTTGTGGGGAGTTCGTTCTATGAGGTGTTAAAAATCGGTCTGGGTTGTAAGTTCTTAAAAGTGGTGCTTGCAGACAGAGTTGCTGCTTTGATGAGTTTGAGGCCTATGTAGCTGGAAACAGTAGTGATGGATCTGGAACTTTGTTACAGAAGTAGTGCTTGAAGCTCATTCTATTTAAAAAAAAAAAAGAAACTTGAGTTTGATACATGTGTTCATAAGTATGTATGTGCCATAACAATGCTTCATAGACTTAAAAAGTGTGCTGTTCTTGTCTTTTAATGGCTGTAGGCTATTACCAGCTTTGTGAGACTGTTAACTTCTTATAAAACTTAAATAGCCTTAGTACTAAGGTATTAGGACAGTCTTCTGAAAACTAAAAGCTCATTTATGATTTACATGAAGAATCTCTTGTAAGCTCTTTGCTCCAGATATAGTCATCTGGGTAATGAGTGATTTGTGGTGTGAAGTTATGTGGTGTTTTGGCTATGTCTGCTAAGGTAGCTATATTAGCTGCTTCTTAGTGTGGTCATATTTACATTGGCCAGCATTATTTTAAATGAGACAGAGTGATTGAGAGGGATTGGTAAACTAAGGATCTGAAAAGAAGTGAGATTTCAGTTAGAAGAAAGGAAACTTCAGGTAGGTCCTCTGTGGTGGGTTCCTCAATGGACAAGTGGTGGGATGTGATACATCAGCAGTGCAGTGTAGTTGCTTGATTACTTGCAAATAAACCCTGTTATTTCTGTGACTTTTGCCAAGATCTAGGAGTCTTGAGTGTCCCCTTTTTCTGGTAGTTTTGTGGAAAAGAAACAGAAAGGAGTAGTTTTTGGAGTTGTTGAACAGAAACCAGAAGGATGTAAACTCAAGCTGTATATTTAGAAGGGAAGGAAGTCTTTAGCCAGAGGTAAAGGCCAGACAAGTAGCATGTTTGTAGACAGCACACCTGGCTACGTTCACATAACATTCATGAGCATTACAGGAACTTTTTGTTTATTGTCTTTCTGAAGATTTGCTTCCAATAGAGCCTAGATCAAACTTTGTCATCCATTTCTGCTTTTATATGGTTGGTTCAAAGTAACAATGTTATTTTCTTACTGAAAATATTTACCCAATTGTGTTTGACCAAGGGAAGCTGGCACAGGAGGTCTGGAAATGGAATTTTGATGTGGAATTGTCCCTCAACTAGAATGTGCATCAGTGCAGTGTGGAAAGCATTATGTGCTGTATTCTGCTAATATTGAAAACTTAGGTGTTATGTGTTGAAGAGCTGAGTGGCTTTCTGTACTTGTATTAATGGTTTTTTGTAACCTGAAAAGTTGTATAATTCGTTACAAAGTCTTACATGTTGGAGTATTTTAAAAGGCAGACCACCGTATGTGACTTAGCCTGCATATTTATTTGTTCTTGCTTTTAGCACATCGAGTGTAATGTAACGCAAATTGTCTTAGTCAAGATTTTTTAGTGGCTATTTGTAAATACTTACAGGAGCCCTCACAAGTTAAAAAATCTAATAGGTTCTTTAGTAGTGGTACTTGGGAGGCCTGTTTTTTTAATAAATATATTCTTTTACCGTGCCCTTTCCCCATGTCTCCTACACAGTAATCCTCTCCCTCCATGTGTATGTTGTGATACCCTTATCAGATAGGACACATGCTTTAGCAAGTCTGGCATTTTGTGTTTATAATAATAATTGGTCAGCTGGCTGCTTCCAAACAGTGTATTTAATAGATTAGTTATGTTTGTGGGAACACTGATTTGAGTTTGCATGCAGTTTGTCAAAATCTAACTGGTTAATCTCTAAGAATTCTTGGCTTATTAGAGTTCTGTAGAGAGTGGTAAGTCCATTGGAAAGCAGATTTTATTGGTTCTCAGATGTAAGTGAAGTCACTATTGGCGTCTTCTGTGCTTAACAGTAAGTGATGTGGATCCCCCTTGTACATCTTATTTTACTGTTAAAATGTCCTTTTACTGGACAGCTGAATGTTGCCAGCTAATTATGTTTAGTACAAAAGAGCTATTTGTAACAAATTCAAATAGCAGTTTGAGCAGCATTGCTTCTATTTCTTTTCACATT